ACATCACTATCCACCACACATCACTATCCACCCTGCATCATCATTCAACATCCACCACAAATCAACATCCACCACAAATCACCATCCACCACACATCACTATCCACCCTGCATCATCATTCAACATCCACCACAAATCGCCATCTACCACAAATCACCATCCACCCTGCATCATCATTCAACATCCACCACAAATCACCATCTACCACAAATCACCATCCACCACACATCACTATCCACCCTGCATCATCATCCACCACAAATCACCATCCACCACACATCACCATCCACCATCTACCCTACACCACCACTGCCATGCACTATACTTCACCATTCACCACAAACCCACTATCTATCACCATCCACCACACATCACCATCCACCACACATCACTATCCACCCTCCATCCAGCCCCCATTACCATCCACCATAAATGACCGTCTACCCTCTCTTACCATCCACCACACATCACTGTCCTCTCTCCATCACCATCCACCCTGCATCACCATCCGCCATCTACCCTACACCACCACTGCCATGCCCTATACTTCACCATTCACCACAAACCCACCATCTATCACCATCCACCACACATCACCATCCAGCCCCCATTACCATCCACCACACATCATCACCCACCACTATTCCTATTACGACGTTAATAGCCCTGTTTGTTGCTGGCCGTTTGACTTTTGGGGCCTGTGGTCCTGTGCTCAGCAGCTGTGTAAAACAAACCGAATCTCAGCCATAGCCCGGACCGCATGGCTGCACCGTGAACACTTCTCCCCTCCCATTTATCATGCGTCAAGTATTTGCCAGCGGCGGATTTATTTCATCAACAGCACGGCTCCTTTCCACAAAAGTGGCAACTCACTCACTCTGGGTGTATCGCGCGATATGAGCACGGGGTCAGAGCACGATAGCCCCAGGCTCAGTGCCCGGTGGCAAACCCACGCATAGAGAATCTGAGTGGCCCATAAGAAAAGGCCAGGTGGCCCGGAGCAGAGTGGCCCATGAGAGAAGGCTAGGTGGCCCAGAGCAGAGTGGCCCATGAGAGAGGCCAGGTGGCCCATGAGAGGAGGCCAGGTGGCCCAGAGCAGAGTGGCCCATGAGAGAAGACCAGGTGGCCCAGAGCAGAGTTGCCCATGAGAGAAGGCCAGGTGGCCCATGAGAGGAGGCTAAGTGGCCTGAAGCAGTGGCCCATGAGAGAAGACCAGATGAGCTGGTGAACAGCAAGGTGGCCGGAGGAAGAGCGGAGTGGCCCACGAGAGAAGACACAACGAGGTGGCCCAGAGAGGAGGAGCGGCTGTGGCAGTGGCTGAGCCTGGCGTGTGGCGGCGCGGCGGGTAGAGCGGGAGCAGCTGGATCCTGGCCACGCCGCGGAATGCCGCCTGGCAGCATCGCGGCCGCACCGCAGCTCAGCCCGGAGAGGCTCCTCACCACGCTGAGCTGCCTCGCGGAACCTGACCCGGCTTGTAGGCCGCTCGTGACATGTGCAGAGTAAATACCGACCGTGCGTTAACCCAACAACCACCACCACAATAACAACAATCACCAACCAGCCCAGCACACGCACGGACTCACGCGCAGTTATATAATACTGCTGTTGCTGATAGCGGCCGTGACAAAACGAGCTTTGACGAGGGCGCTGACCATGATGGTAAAGAAGGGGGCGAATGAGAGTTTGAGAGCTTGTGGGGAAGATTAATTCACGTTTGACCCGAGAAAGCCACGCCAAGTCCCAAGACACCTTTTCAGGAGGATCTTGCCTAGTTTGTTTTTTGCAATAAAGGTGCAGTGGCGATGTTGTTGCTGCTGCTGTGCGATCCCAATTTAGTCATTTGCCGGGAATTGTTCACCATTGGGGTGTGATTTGGCCAATATCAGTCCCACTGTTTGTGTGTTCGGTTAACTATTGGAGTAAACTGTAGAACCCAGAGGAAACTCATGCAGACCAGGGGGGGCAACATACAAACTCCACAGAGAAAGGCACCCGAGTCAGGAATCGAACCCAGGGCATTCTTGCTGTGAGGCGTGAGTGTCATTACTTCGCCCAGAGACTCGCATGGAGACCCTGACACGGAGAACAGTGGAGCCACCTGGCCTTAGGTCTTCTCTTCCCCTCGCTCGTCGGCAATCGTGGAGACCGCTGCAATGCTTGTCTCGGCAATGAGCCCTACTCCATCATTCCGAACACACGCGTCCAACCCCGCGCAACCGTTCACGCCAAATCGTACCTACGGTCTGACGTTATTTTCCAGGACCGCGAGAATGAGAGGGTAAAGTGCCGATGTTCTGCGCGGCTCCCCAAGACGCTCCCGGCACGTGTAGCGAAACGTCGGATATCGTGGCGAACAAACCGTGGCGCGACTCAAGGCACGTGGCTACCCACGTGGCAGGGTCGCACTCCTCACTGCCGCTTCTACCGCTGCGAGATGTGGTGCTGAAACACGGACATTGACAGACGCCGACATTGGTGTGCACCTCGTGAACACAGAGCCGTCCCGAGGCTTACGGTGAATCAGAGCGACCATCAAAGCCCCACACTTCAATGCCACGCTGTCAGATGTAATACTTCGGGTTTCGTTTGACGGCGTCGGGAGACCCACGCGGTGGGGTTTGCCCCCGGCCTCGCACCCCCGCCCCCTAGGGACGACCCTGGATGAACATTTTGCATATTGCGTTGACGCGAGAACATAACTGATTATGATGGAGAGTGGATGGTGATGCATGGTGGGTGGTGATGTGTGGTGGATGGTGATGGAGAGTGGATGTTGATGGAGAGTGGATAGTGATGGAGAGTGGATGGTGATGCATGGTGGGTGGTGATGTGTGGTGGATGGTGATAGAGAGTGGATGTTGATGGAGAGTGGATGTTGATGGAGAGTGGATAGTGATGGAGAGTGGATGGTGATGGAGAGTGGATGGTGATGCGTGGTGGATGATGATGGAGAGTTGATGGTGATATGTGATGGATGGTCAATGGTGATGTGTGGTGAAATGACCATGTATGATATGGAACGTGACCTGAACACTGCACAGAGAGGCTCGGGGAGGTGCTGGTTTGGGATTTTGCACTGAGAGAGAGAGAGGAGCACGTGGAGTGGAAGATACCCGCGCGTCAGAGGCAACAGCAGCATCCTCGTGCCTGTTGAAGGAAGTGAGTAGTGGTCCTGGGCAGGACGCGTCACGGCTGCACGAGACGATGGATGGTTCGAGAATAATCACGGAGCGACAGACAACAGATGGCACGTGGAATACAGTCTGTTTTGCTATCATGTGGTAGTTGCCTTCTTTAAGAACACCACGTTGTAGAAAAATGGCGTTATAATAACCATTTATTCAATCTTGATTTGAAGCTTTCTTGACTGCAGGAATCCAAACTCTTTGGTTCTTTCGGTAAAGTCACGGAGGTAGAAAAATAAAATAAAAATAATATATCACGACGTTTCGATCGCAACACAAGCGGTCGTCCTCAGGTGGAAAAATAATCCAGCAGTGGAACTGCTGAACCAGGAGCTTGTGTTACACATAGACATTACATAAACTTGCTAATCCCCCTAATCTCTCTGCCTAATCTCTACCATCAACATAGTGCTAATCTCCCATTAACACTGCTGCTGTGCGCATATGCGGGGACGATAATCTTATGCGGCGACAGAAGCTCATTTCATGCTCATCTCTCTCCCTAATCTCTCTCTCCCTAATCTCCCCCACTAATACAACTGAGGTGCTTGCGTCCGGGGATGGAATTCCTTTCCAGCTCAGACCCCGACTGCTTGCCCATCGCCACATATATAACCTCTTGTTGTTGTAACAGCTCTCTCGCTGTGTTCCTCTTGGTTCAGCAGTTCCACTGCTGGATTCTTTTTTCCGCCTGAGGACGACCGCTTGTGTTGCGATCGAAACGTCGTGATATATTATTTTTATTTTATTTTTCTACCTACGTGACTTTACTGAAAGAACCAAAGATCATTGATTCAATGGGAATTAAGGGGTTAGGGGTAGTAAATTTAGAAAGCACCAACATGACTGACATTTTTCATGATAAATTATTATATTATTGTTGATTTTTACGTATTCTTTTATAATCATTGTGTTTTAGTTTGATAATATAATTTATTAATACGTGAAAATGCCTGAAAAGCGCATGTTACAGTGTTAGTCGCTAAGCGATAGAAAACATAGCCGTGGAGGATGAAGATAGAAAACGATTAACGGTGTGAAGTGAAGGGTGCAATGTAGTTCTATTCACTCAATCACATATATCCAATTCTCATCCGTGTTGTACAAATGTGTTCCCGAATACATTCACGGCATTATATCCAAATTCGCGTTATGAAAACACGCGTTATAGCAGAACGGACTGTACATGCACACAAATCCTGAACCGGTGTCGACATTCAGTGTATCATCAGCACTCAGACTTGCTTAAACCAATATTGTACCGTTGACCTGACAGGTGTTCATAGGCAAGAACTCACTCGACTGCTGAAATTGTGCACTCCCGGAAGGCAGGCCCGTGTGGCTAACGGTATGTGTAAAATCACTTGCATTGTCTAAGTGGAGGGACAGCTATGGGAGGGAGGCGAACCGTAAGTTAAGTTATTTTGCTGTTATGACGGTAACACTGTTCTTACGGAGTGGTGGAGCACCGCTTAGCACAATGCGCTACGCATATTCCCAACATCAGTGGCACGTGACATTTAACCTCAAGCTAGGACGATTCTTCGATTAATTATCGTTATGGCTTTCACTTTAATCCCCCCCTTCCCCGTCTCTGGCGTGAGTGGAGGAGTTCCACTTTGATCCCCCCCTCTCTGCCTCCTCCCTCCCGTCTGCCCGCGCGCGCGCCCGGGACGCGTACGGGCACGCGTGGACTCTCCACTCTTCTATGCGAGCCAAGAGCCATGAGCGATCTCAGGAGGAGGAGTAGGATGATGATGGAAATTATTATTATTTCATTTGTCTCGCGTTCCGAGGCGGTCGGTTACAGCAACTGCAGCGGCCGCGTCAGTGGAAGTAAGTGAGCAGAGTGCACACGTGTGGTTTGGCTGTTACTTCGTGTGGTGTGCCTAGGACTTCGTGTGGCGTGGCCGGGACTTCGTGTGGCGTGGCCGGGACTTCGTGTGGTGTGGCTGGAACTTTGTGTGTTGTGGCTGAGACTTCGTGTGGCGCGACTGAAACTTCGTGTGGTGTGGCTGGTTGGCAGCAGGACAGACCGGCCGGTACATTTAAGGGACCTTCCCCGGGCAGCCCGACACTCCACTCGAAGCACCCGAGGATGCGGAACCTGAGACTGGTCACCTGGTGAGTGAGCGGTGGGGAGATGAAAGATGAGAAAGTGGGAGGTATGAGAGAGATGAACAGCTGGCAGATGACAAGGGAGACAGGGAGATAAGAGGGGAGAGATGAGAGGGAGTGAGAGAGATTGGAGGGCGTAGGAGAGGTGTGAAGGAGGGAGATGACAGGGAAAGAGATAGGTAGATGGAAAATGGAAGGGAGGTGGGAGTCTTGGATAAAAGGAGATGTAAATGGGGGGTAGGTGGGAGGGAGAGAGATGGTTACATGGGTAGGGAGTTGGCGATGCAAGAGAGGTGGGAGACAGACATTGTGTGTGATGTAGGCGTACAGAAGTTGGGTTGGTGAACCTGCCTGTGTGGATGGATGGTGGGTTGTCTCCAGTTTAAAACCAAGAGAGCCAAACGTCTCTGCTGTGCAGGACCATCCTGAAAGATCGTCTTGAGATTCAGCGAAGCTTTTCTTCACGGTTAGCTCCGTCGACAGCCATTTGTGGAATTGACATATTCCTATGGCAGGAGGAAGAGATACAAGCCTACCATTTCCGAAGCAAATGAAGTTAATGCTGCTTCTCTTGTCCCGTGTTATCGATGCCTTTGTTACATGCTGGATAGAGCGGTGGTGCAGTGGTTAGCGCACTGCGCTACTCACATAGATACCTATGGATCGTGAGCATGCCAAAGGTAGATGCAGCCTTAACTGAGTAGCTGGTGTGGTGTGTAAGCATCAGCACATGGGAGGCAAAGGTGGCCAGGCGTGGTGTTGATTACCCACCCCCTAGTGCGCTGTTTCGGCCTTCATATGTGTTCGCCAACAGCCTCTTAAAAAATATACATGGGGCCTTTGATGTTGTTGTGGGGGGCGAGTGGCGAGATGGGGCGCGCCACGGTGGCCAGATATCAACTACCTCGCCTAGAATACAGGAGGTCGTGGGTTCGATCCAGACCCTGACGTCTGTATATTTGAAGTGTGTATGTTCTCCCGGTGATCGCGTGGATTTTTCCCCGGGTCCTCCAGTTATTCCCTCCACATATATGTAGTGGCTTGGATTTCACTATGACGACAATTGCCTTTCTTTCACCGTCACTTTTATTTCCATCGTTCCGCACAATATAATTTCTCCTCTCCGCCAACTCGAACACTCGAATTCCTCTCAGCACCGTCCGCTCATACCCCTTGTCTCCACACAGTCTCTTCTTGTCTCACCGCACACACAGTGATCCTATATCTATCTCCTTCCACACAGTGACTCGTCCATCTCTTCACACACAGTGACCTGTCTATCTCCTCACACACAGTGACTTGTCTATCTCTTCACACACAGTGACTCTGTCTATCTCTTCACACACAGTGACCTGTCTGTCGCTAACTCTCCCTGTACCTACCTATACCGTAATCTCCACTATCCTAACGCTAACTCTCGCTATCGCTATCTATTGTCATCTGGGTTCAGCTCTCAATCTATTCTCCACTAACACTTGCCGGGCTTCCACTCTTCGCTTCTGTCTCTACCCACTGCTGTCTCCACTTCTCGCCAACTCTCCCGCCGTCCAAATCACCTAGAGTTTTTATCCCCTTTCCAATCAGCCTTAATTAATTGCCACGTGCCTCGCTGGCATTTTCCCGCCAGCTCCGCACCTGTCCAACGGTCCAGACTCCGTGATGCCGCCACTTAACGCTAACAGCGTCTCGACCAATCACAGCCCTCGTCCCTTGACTCCCTTAATTACTTTGGCTTAAATTTTGATTTAAAGCTTTCGTGACTGCAGTAATTCATATTCTTAGTTCTTTCGGTAAAGTCACGTTGAAGGGAAACAACAAAATAAGAAAATATATATAAAACAATAAAAATCCTCACGACGTTTCAATCATAACACAAACGGTCGTTTGTGTTATGGTTCTATATAACACAAACGGTCGTTTGTGTTATGGTCGAAACGTCGTGAGAATTTTTATTGTTTTATATATACTTTATTATTTTGTTGTTTCCCTTCAACGTGACTTTACCGAAAGAACTAAGAATATGAATTACTTTGGCTGGTTTACGCCACCGGTGACTTCATCACCTGCCCGACCTTACATGACCCACACTGTTTGTATGTACTGTATATGGCCAATTTACCCATGTGTATTTTCTACTCCACTACATATAGATTCAACATGCGTTTCGAGTATTTGGCTGTTATACATTTCTACATGATAAGCCGCTTCATTTGGACTATCATTTGTGGCCAAGTCGCTTCTGAAAAAGAGATGTATAGCACTGTGGGCCTTACCTGGTAAAGTAAAAAAGTCAAGTTTCAGTTTAGAGTGTGGTGAGGTTGAGGTGAGGCTTAAGTGAGTGTGAGTCAGGGGTGTGTATGTCTGTCCGTCTGTGCGTATGTACAGGAGTGTGAGGAGCGGTAGTGTAGTGGTTCACGTGCTATGCTAGGAACTCGGCGACCCGAGTTCTAGTTCCCACTCATGGCCAACACCAGTGGCGAGTATCTGAACCAGTCCTGGGCCTCTCTTAGGTCGACTCAGTCTCAAATAAGTACCTGGTGCAGTGTGTAAAAACATCGCCACTGGGGAGACAAAGGCGGTCGGGCAATGTGCTGGTCATCTACCGCCTCGTGTACCGTTCCGGACTTAATAAGTGCTCGTTAACAGCAATTGCCCCAACAGTCTGTTAAGGCTATACGGGAGATATTTGCACTAATTATACCAAATTCCACGGTGGAAACACGAAATTATGCTTGTGCTGGAGGCCCTGTCGACAAAATAGTTTGTATCTTCTGGCCAAACGCCATTTGGCAAAACAGGAGACTGCAGCCCCGCCCCCCAACCCTCGAGGTTCCTCGAGAAACAACGAAGCCACTACAGCTGGCCACGTGGAATGTTTGAATGCTTGCTGCGAGGAGAGGTTGCAATTCCTCTGTCGGGAGCTGAAATGGTACCACCGGGGCCTCTGTGGAATACAGGGAGGTCCGGTGGCCGGTTCTGATCCAGTCACCATGAGGGGTGGAGAGTCCTCCACTCGAGGCAGGAAACTGCCAAACACCAGGAAGTGTCTCTTCTTCTGAGTAAATAAAGGGGACGTGGGAGCCTATAGGCAGTGAGGTTTAGAAAGTTGTGAGTCCCAGGCTACTGTGGGCTTGTCTCCCCATTAGCGGGAGGCGAGGAATGGTGGTGGTAGCTTACGCACCCACAGAATATGAACATCAGTAGAGGGATGCAGACAAGGCTGATGAGTCAGGTGCCTTTCATGACTTCATGTCCCAGTTTGATTCTCTCTCACGGCCAACATCCATGAATATATGAACCTGGTAATGATCCTCCCCTAGGACGACTCAGCCAGAAATGAGTAGCTGGCATGACACAAACATCGAGCACTGGTTGGCAAAAGCGGCAGGCCATGGTTGCAACCACACCACCCGTTCGTGTCCCGTGCTGGCCTTCATCAGTGCTCGCTAACAGCACTTGCCTCAGTCTGTTGAGGCTATACGGGAAATCTTTGTCTTGTGTTTTCCCATCCAGTTTGCCGATTGCTCTGCTCCTCGCCATCACTGTTGGAGCCGTGAGTCCGGAGAAACAAAACCCCTAACCCCTTGCACACCACATTCTTATGGCCAGACAACGCCTTCACGCTCAGTCATCGGGCATGGATTGCTTGTCTTATTACAATATACTTCACCGCGCTGGTCAGTGCGAGAGGTGGTTGTGGTGGTTGCACCGGCAGTCCTCGCTTAACGTGTGGCGTTCACACTATAACACATTTTGGCTATAAGGCGGTTATTTAACTCGGAACGCGCACCGCTATAACGCGGTTCAGACGAACTATTTTATTGAGCTGCGCAGCTGAGCGGTGTGATCGAGTAGCGGAATGATACAGTAACGCGGCGCCCGACCCTTAGTTATTTGTCCAGCTAACTCATTGCGTGGCGTATGTAGTCCACCGGGTCACGCCAAACTGTATCGTTACATTACTTATAGGGGAAATTGTTTTCGCTTCAGGCGTGTTTTGCTTAACGCGGCAATTTTCAAGTATGCATTTCCCGCTCTGAACGAGGACTTATTGTACTGCAATGATTCCGCGTCTGAGCCCCGCACCGCATTCAAACCAGACTGACCAGCGTGGTGAAGTATGGTTAACAACCCTCCCACACACGGTGTATTTTATTGGGGAGACCGTGAGTTTATGAACACCACGCCAGCTAGAGACCATGTGCATACTACATTTTGAGTACAGTATATGGGTATTTATGCGAGACTGTTGGTCTCTATGTGAGTTTGTGGGTCTCTATGTGAGTCTGGGTCTCTGAGTTTGTTGCTCTGTGTATGGACCTCTTGAGTCAATAGGCCTTTATGTGCGTGTATGGGCTACTCTGAGTCTGTGCGCCTTTGGAAGTCTATGGGCCTCTCTGAGAGTCTATGGGCCTCTGATTCTATGGGTCTCTCTGTGATTCTATGGGTCTGAATCTGCGAGAGCCCGTGTAATCGCTGTGGTTGCGGCTGTTCTCAACTGTGTGTACAACGTCTTGTGTCTGTGACTCTATGTGGGGGGGCTGAGTGGTGTGTACGACGTCTTGTGTGTCTGTGACTCTATGTGGGGGGGGGGGGGGGGCTGAGTTGTGTGTACGACGTCTTGTGTGTCTGTGACTGTGGGGGGCTGAGTGGTGTGTACGACGTCTTGTGTGTCTGTGACTCTATGTGGGGGGGGCTGAGTGGTGTGTACGACGTCTTGTGTGTCTGTGACTCTATGTGGGGGGGGGGGGGGGCTGAGTGGTGTGTACGACGTCTTGTGTGTCTGTGACTCTGTGGGGGGCTGAGTGGTGTGTACAACGTCTTGTGTGTCTGTGACTATGTGGGGGGCTGAGTGGTGTGTACGACGTCTTGTGTGTCTGTGACTCTGTGGGGGGCTGAGTGGTGTGTACAACGTCTTGTGTGTCTGTGACTCTATGTGGGGGGCTGAGTGGTGTGTACGACGTCTTGTGTGTCTGTGACTCTGTGGGGGGCTGAGTGGTGTGTACAACGTCTTGTGTGTCTGTGACTCTATGTGGGGGGCTGAGTGGTGTGTACGACGTCTTGTGTGTCTGTGACTCTATGTGGGGGGGCTGAGTGGTGTGTACGACGTCGCTACTTTGGAGACGCGGGCGTGGCGCTGGCCACCCACCCCTTCGTGCGCTGTTTAGGCCTCCATAGGTGCTACTCGGTAACAGCACTTGCCCCAACAGACTGTTAAAGGCTGTACGGGCTATCTTTGTCTTTGTGTGTGTTTAGCAGCAGCAGCCACCTGATGATCGCTGCCCGTGCCCTCGAGAGGAAGGCAGCCGGGTGAGGAGGAGGGAGCCGCACCCACCCAGGGACCCAGCCCCCCACAGATCTAGATCCAGTCCACGGGACAGACTCGCCACATCACTGACGACACTGATGCAGCCACCTCGCCCCCCCCCCCCCCAAAGGCCCAGTAACGCCACTTGCGACTGCCACTGCTGTGCACACCGCGTGCCGCGACAGGGACAGCTGTCACCGGGGGTTGGGGGGTAGGCCCCCTCGGCTTGAGATGGGACGGAAGTTGCTTCGAGTTGTGGAGACATTCAAGAAAAGGTCTCCCCGTGTAGTTCACACTTGCTGAGGCAAGTGCTGCAAGCGCCCATGAATGCCGAAACGGCACCGATATGCGGGTGTGTTTGCCTCCCAGTGCTGATGTTTACACGCCGCAGCAGCTACTCGTTTAAGGCGGAGTCTCCCTCGAGTATAACCGAACTCGGTAATACACAACACAAAATACACATTCGCCTCTTGCAGAGAGCAGCTAAACAGATAACAGGCACACACGTATACACGCACAACTTACATCATACAACATCACCACCCATCGTTGTCCACTAGGTGGCGGTGACGTCTTCACGGCGCCTGTGCCAGGCGCACTTTGAGGCCAGGTGAAGAAGGGTCGAAGGCTCGCTGGATAGACCCAGGTGCCATGGGTTGGCTGCTGTGCCAGGCTAGGTGCAGGAGGAGGAGGCCACGAGACAGACCCATGGGTTGGCTGAGATGACTGGCAAATGCACCAACTTTGCCCCACGTACAAATACAAATATCTCCCTTATAGCCTTAACAGACTGTTGGGGCAAATGCTGTTAGCGAGAACCGATGAAGACCGGCACGGCACACGAGGGGGTGGGTGGCCAGCACCACGCCCAGTCGCCTTTGTCTCCCTAGTGGCGCACCAGGTACTCATTTGAAACTGAAGAGGCCCAGGACCGGTATAGATAATCGTCACTGATGTTGAGGAAATCGAACTCTGGTCGCCAGGTTCGTAGCGCAGCATGCAAACCGCTACATTACTGCCCATACCCGTGCATACACACACACACGTGCACACACACGGCTGAGCCTGTGTCCTGTACCTCCTTCAGGGGGAGCGGGGGTTCCCGGGATCCTCGGGCCCCCCAGGCCCCACCGGCCTAATGGGACCCCCGGGGTCCAGCGGATTTCCCGGAGAGAGGGGCGACCCAGGCCGCCAGGGTCCAACGGGACCCAAGGGGGACCAGGTTTGTTGCGAGGGGCCTTAAGGCTCCGTGTCCCTACATCAAATCCTCTAGTTCGGCCTTGTTTAAAGGGGGGGGGGTTGGTCAGGCAAACCCTCAGGGGGATGTGGGGGAGGAAGACTCAGGCTAGGGGGGTGCAGCACAAGCATAAGCCAGCATGGGGGCAGGGGGTGCCTTGCCCCCCCCCCCTTGTGGTCAAAGCTGCGAGTTGGGGGGGCCACCTTGACAACCACCATGAGAATTGTTTTCAACAAAATTGTTAAAGAACAACAACTTATTTAAAATGCGGTTTTTGTTTTTTTCTGAAAATGATTTCATTTACGTTCCACGTTTTAATTTAATGAGACCAGTAACGTTTGGCTTCACATCTTTGTTTCTACGTTGTAATCACACTGAAACCAGCTAGGTAGGCAGAACCTGTCCTCCCGGGTTGGGGCGAATAGGGAGTACGACCATGCGAGACAAATCCAAATTTGGGGCCCCATCTGATCGATTGCTGCACCTCCCGAGCTGATAATGTCGTTACTACGCCACTGGGATGCAGTGGTGACACTCGCGCCTCACAGCGAGAAGCACCAGTGTTCAATTCCCGACTCGGGTGCCTCTCTGTGGTCGAGTTTGTAGTTCTCTCTCCCCCTGTTCTTTGTAGCTAAATCCACACACACAGTGGAACTGGTGTTGGCCAAAACAGCATCCCAATGTTGAACAAGACCCTGCAAGTGACTCATTTGGAATCACACAGCAGCAACAGCAGCAAACATCGCCTACTGCTGCTAGCAACGCATTTGACCCTCCTGACAAGGAGTCTTGAGACTCGGTGAGGCTCTGTTGGCTGAACAGTTGCAACGATCGGAGCCAACGTTGCCCCCGGTTACTCCACACGGCCCGTGATGCTCTCCCTGCGTTCATTGGGCTCGTCTGCGGAGCCGCCACATTGAGAGGCATCGGTACTCCATCTCATGTTCACATCTCCGCACAGCCAACGGTGGAAACTCCACGTTCCCATGAGCAGGACGTACGACGACTGCTGTTGAACTCCCCGCAGAGTGGAGCTCGTTTTGGACGCGGGCACTGAGTAGAGAAGGTGGGGAGTTAACAGGCCGGGGGCTGTCTTGTCATCGCTCGTCGTGCCTGGACCCACTTGCTGAGTGCCGCATCCCTTGCTCCCCTGTGCGCAGGGATCCCCGGGGGTGCCGGGTTTCATGGGAGGAGATGGGACCCCGGTGAGGAGGTTCACGTAAACTTCATCGCTGTCTCGTCATCGTCAGCATCAACCAATTTGCATCCACATTGTCATCAATACCACCATTACCACCATCATTCATCACCTTCACCACCTTCACCAGTGCTGTCATCGCCACTTCACCAACCTCATCTGTATCATCATTACGATCACCACGCATGTGATCCAGCACTGTGGAGGCAGCAGCGAGGGTTGGTGGATCACACACAGATGGTATGAAACTCCCCATGGGCATCGAGGAGGAGCCGTACCCTGGCTCGCCAGGAGAAGGCGGTACAGCAAATATGTGGAATCCCCCTGTGCCGTCTATACGGGATAGAGCGCTTCCCCCCTTGCATGTGCGGTTTTCTCCGGGTGCTCCGCTTTTCTACCACTCATCAATCAGCCACAAACACCTTAACATATAGAGAGGACGACAGAGGATGGGAAATTGCTGGCAGTGCCATCTGCTCACCAAGTGGCTGCTACTGCTGCCTTGCCACTCATCTGTGGCTCCTCCTCCTGGCGCCTCTGAGTCATCACCTCTCTTCAAGAGCGAGCCGGCGCAGTGCGGCGTTGCATTATAATTTGACATCACAAGGAAGGAGGTGATGGAGGTGGTAGTGATGGAGAAGGTAATGGATAATGGAGGAGGTGGTGATGGAGGAGGTGGCGATGTGCTCTCTGGTTGCGCAGGGTTTGCCTGGGGAGCTGGGGAAGCGGGGCCCCCCAGGGTCTGGGGGCCCCCGGGGGCCGCGGGGCGACCCCGGCCTGGGCGGGGGGCCTGGGCAACCGGGACAGCCGGGATTCCCGGTGAGTCCTCCCACGCCACTCCACCCCCCCAGCCTGTCCATCATATGATACCTGCCCCCCACTCTCACCATGGTGGCGAGATGTTAACCACCTCGCCTGGTATACAGGAGGTCGTGGGTTCGATCTCGACCCTGACGCCTGCGGAATATTTGAAGTTTGCGTGTCTCTCCCCGCGGTCGTGTGGATTTTACTCTGGGTCCTCCGGTTTTTCCCTCAACTTTTTAAATTAATGTGCATTTAGATTATTTGGCTGGTATAAATTTCTACGTGATAATACACTTCGTTGAGCTATCATTTGTAGACCGGTCACTTCTGAAAAAGAGCTAGAAAGGTCAGTGGGCCTTACCTGGTAAAGCCAAAAATAGTTTTATAGGTTCACCTATCAATAAGATATTCCTCATTGGGGGTCGCTGTCTCTCCCATCCGCAGGGGTTCCCTGGAGCAAAGGGGATCAAAGGGGACACAACTTCAATCCCGCCGGGTCTGATCGGACCCCCGGTATGGACCCCAAACCTACCATCCCGAGTCCTTGAATGTTACCTGTGTGTATGTGTGTGTCACCTGTGTGTGTGGCACTGGTGTGTGTGTGTCACCTGTGTGTGTTTTATCTCTGTGTGTCACCTGTGTGTGTCACCTATGTGTGTGTCACCTGTGTGTGTTTTATCTCTGTGTGTGTCACCTGTGTGTTTTATCTCTCTGTGTGTAACCTGTGTGTGTGTCACCTGTTTGTGTGACACCTTTGTGTTTCACTTGTGTGTGTGTTACCTGTGTGCATCACCTCTGTGTGTAACCTGTGTGTGTGTCACCTGTTTGTGTCACACCTCTGTGTGTATCATCTATGTGTATCACCTGTGTGTGTGTTACCTGTGTGTGTGTGTGTTACCTCTGTGTGTGTGTTACCTGTGTGTGTGTGTGTGTGTTACCTGTGTGTGTGTGTCACTTGCACACCAGTGTGTGTGTTACCTGTGTATGTTACCTCTGAGTGTGTCACCTGTATGTGTGTGTCGCCTCTGTGTATCACCTCTGTGTGTTACCTGTGTGTATCACCTCTGTGTGTGTTACCTGTGTGTTACCTGTGTGTATCACCTCTGTGTGTGTTACCTGTGTATATCACCTGTGTGTGTGTTACCTGTGTGTATCACCTGTCTGTGTGTTACCTCCGTGTATCACCTGTGTCTGTGTTACCTGTGTGCATCACCTCTGTGTGTTTGTCACCTGTGTGTGCAATGTGTGTTTTTCACCTCTGTGTGTGTCACCTGTTTTTCACCTCTGTGTGTGTGCGTGTTATTGGATCCCGCAGGGTGATTCTGGATTTCCTGGGAGCGATGGCGAGCAGGTAATGCAGGACAGGGAGCCCGCCACTTACCTGGAGCCCCCCACAGACCACCCCACGTTATCGCATCTCACGTTAGCAACAGCATGACCGACACCATCACAGTGCAATAGTCACTCTCATCGCCCCAGTCTCTCGTCAGAGAAACTGTTTTGATACCATCGTTAACTATGTGTGTGCGACCCATGTGGCACAGTGGTTAGTGCACTGCGCTAATATACCTGATGTCCCAGGGTCGATTTCCGGCCATGGCCGAGATCAGCGGTGAATGAGTGGTGCCTAGCACGGTTGGCTACGTACGGCGCGAAAGAAGTTCAACGTATGTAGAGTCTCTTCTCCTATGAACGTGGTAGTTGAAGAATATCGCGTTGTGGAAAAATCGCGTTATAATAAATAATTTAGGGTAAAGCACAGTTTGCGATAACACGTGAGACACGTACGCAGGCCATACAAATACTGAGGTGCGTGGGTAGCATCTAGAGTCATCCAGCAGCATCTGAATGCCTTGTGCGATGCGACGCCGAGGCAGCCATAAAACCGCCTATTCCTGTAGTTTTGTTCACTCGATCGCGTTATATCCAATTCGCATCCATGTTATAAAAAATGTGTTCCCTTATACATTAATCGCGTTATATCCAATTCGCGTTATGAAAACACGTATTATAGGAGAACAGACTGCATGTACATCGAGCACAAGGGTGACATAGACAGTCACACCTACCCCTCGTGCGCCGTGCCGGCCTAATAGTTGCTACTTGCTACTAACAGCACTTGCCCCCACAGCCTGTGTTGGCTACACGAGGGACCTTTGTGGCCCATGGGTGTGTATGGACTTGACGTCACAGTATGTATACATGCAATTTTTACTTTTGTACCGTAGATAGCCAACCGTGGTAATCGGAGGTGCATAGCTTGTTTACATAATGTGTGTGTGGGGGGGGGGGGGTGTTTGGGATCTTGGAACATTTAATTCACATCGTGGGCGCAATGTTCGGACTTTTCGGAACACGCTGGGCAGACTTGGAGCCGCCGGGGTCCCTGACAGCGGCTAACGCGGCGATCTCTGGGCGTTTCCCCCCCTCACCCAATCTCCATTACCCCCCACTACCCCCCCCCTCACCCTTCTCAACCGCGATGCAGGGCCCGGCCGGGAACCCCGGCCGCCAGGGCCCGCCCGGGACGCCGGGACGCGACGGGCCCCCGGTGAGGGCGCCCCGAGACTCCACAACAAACCCCTGTGAACCGACATTGCACAAGTTTTGGGGGCTAACCTAATCGAGGAGTTGGGGCGGCAGGGGGCGGTGGAGGAATGGGGGTGGTGGCGCCGCAGATGATAAAGCGGGGAAAATATTACGACGCATTCTGTGTGGAGGAGCTGTAACCGAGGGGGTAGTGGCTCTGTATGAAGGTGCTGTAGCTGAGGGGGTAGTAGCACTGTGTGGCGGTGCTGTAGTTGAGGGGGTAGTGGTAATGTGTGGGGGAGCTGTAACAAAGGGGGTAGTGGCACTCTAGAGGTAGCTGTTGCTGAGGCGCTAGTGGTGCTGTGTAGAGGAGCTGTAGTCGGAGGGGGGGGTTAGTGGCACTGTGTGGAGGAGCTGTAGCTGAGAGGTCAGTGGCACTGTGGAGGAGCTGTCGCCGAAGCGGTAGTGGCACTGTGTATTGGAGCCGTAGCCAATTGCACGCCGTGCCGGTCTTCAACGCTGGCCCTTGAAGGCAGTATCGGCTACATAGATGTCTGTACACGTGTATTTACACGTGTATGTGTCTGCCCCCAGGGCTCTGCAGGACGCCCCGGTGCCCCAGGAGACCCGGTGAGTTGGGTCAGACACACCGGTGGGGTTAGATGGTGGGTGTGGGCAGTGGAGGTTGGGTTAGCGTTGCTGTGTGTGTGTGAGGGTCGCTGTGGGATGACGGTGATAGAGAGGTGATTTTGGCCATGTACGTGGTTGTGCAGGGAGACAATGTCCCTGGGCTGAGAGGGGAGCGTGGAGATGTGGTACGGCACGCACACAGACACCGCCTCGTATGTATGTATATTGAACTTCTTTCGCACTGTACGTAGCCAACTGCTAATTGGAGGTGCGGGGAAAGGACGACAAACTAACAAATTCGTTTTTAATCTAGATTTAAAAGTGAACAGCTCCAGTGGCTTCCTAATATCGGAAAGAAGAGTATTCCGGAAGGTCGCACAAACGCATCCAAAAGCGCGCGATGCGGTGACCATTCGTTGTCTTTCCAAAAGCCGCTGTTAGGATTACATCAGCAGCTCATCTCGCTGCTACTGATAGTGATGACGTTGTTACTGATGATATTATTGATGATGACGGCGTCGGTCTTGTTGATGATGGTGCCCTCAGGGAGATGTTGGGTTTCCGGGACCCAAAGGGTTCTCTCGGCTGGTGGAGACTCCACCACAGCCACTCACCAAGGGAGAGAAGGTAACACACACATGTGTGCATGCGTGTTTAGTGGGTACTGTAGCAGTTAACGCGCTGCGCTATGAACTCAGTGACCCGAGTCGATTCCTGCTCACGGCCAACACTAGTGACGAATACCTGAAACAGTCCTGGGCCTCCCCAGGTCGACTCAGCCTCAAATGAGTACCTGGTGGGATGTGTAAACATCGCCACTCTGGAGACAAAGGCGGCCGGGCGTGGTGCTGGCCACCCACCCCCTTGTGTGCTGTGCCGGCCTTCAAAGGTGCTCGCTAACAGCACTTGCCCCAGCCGTCTGTTAAGGCTATATGGGGGATATTCTTGTGTCTTTCGGTAAAGCCACATAGATAGGTTCAAAGAAAATAACAAAAAATTACAAGAAACTACGACGTTTCGATCGCAACACAAGCAGTCGTCTTCAGGAAAAGGGGGGTTAGCTTCCAAGGCAAACTGTTTATTAGGGTTTGAAATGGGCGTAGCCCAAATGTCAGCAGCCAATGATAATGTAAGTGGTGGACAGCCAACCCGACGGTGGTTGGTTTTCCACCAATCAAAGGGCTGCCAGGTGACAATTAGCATGTTAAAGAGAGATTAGCATGTTAATGGGAGATCGCAGAGCCGCAACCAAGGGGTCGGCGCGCGAAGTGACTGTGAAAGCGCAAGTTTGAAATGTGCGTAAAGCACAACTAACATCGGAAGGTGGTAGGATGGGAACATCATAGCCAATTATGACTTAAACTGGTTGATAACGTCCTTCCAATGATTGTACCCATCTTCTCGGTTGAAATTGTGTGTGTCTATATATATGAACGAATTTTTGTTGATAGCCAGTGGGCTTGCAAAGTACCTTCGTCTTAGAGAAATCAATTTCGTGTGAGCCCACCGCATTAAAACAATGATCAGCCATGGCCAAGGTATTGGTCCTACCGAGTTTCAGATCTGCCTTATGTTCACGAACATGGTCCGAGACATGTCTCTTAGTTTCCCCAATGTGACTACTGCCGCAGACAGCTTAGTTCGTAGACGCCAGGGTATTGCATGTCAGGGATCACATCCTTCACAGATGGGATCAGATCATGAATTTTATGTACTGTGTTAAATCGAACTTGGATCTTGTGTTTGCTCATGATTTTGGAAATCTTTTTAGTGAGCCCTGCTACGTATGGCAAGGTGATGGTTTTGATTGGGTCCTCAGATGTTTCTTTCCCAACGGTTGGGGTGATAGTTTTACGGATTGTGTCTGAATATCCATTCATCTTGAGAGCTTGGTGTACGTATTCCAGTTCACTGGCTAGGTAATGTCGGTCGGAAATACATCGAGCTCTATGGTGTAGAGTTTTGATTAAGGAATTCTTCTGGGCAGGATGGTGGTGGGAGTCAGGTTTTAGGTAGGCATCTGTATGGGTGGCTTTCTTGTAGACAGTGTCCCATTGAGCCATGTGGTCTCTTTTCGATTAAAACATCCAAGAATGGTAACTTGCCATCCTTTTCCACCTCCATGGTGAATTTCATGGCTGGGTGTATGGAATTGATGTGGTTGAGGAATTGGTCCAGAGGTGTTCGGCCATGTGGCCAGATGGCAAACGTGTCATCTACGTACCTCTTTCACAAGGACGGACGTAGAGTGGATGCCTGGATGGCATTCGTCTCAAAATTTTCCATGAAAACATTGTCTACAACTGGAGATAAGGGAGAACCCATTGGGGTACCTTCAACTATACGGGGGGTCTTTGTGTGTGTGTGTGCGCGCGCATATGCTTGTGTATGTGTTACCCCAAAAGTCTCTGGAGGCTCTACAGGGGATCCTTGTCTTTGTATCTTTTTTGTGTGCATCTGTGTGGTTAGCTCAGCAGAGAGCCTCATCCTGACGCTAACTCTAACCCTGGCCCTGAACCTAGCCCTGACTCGTAACCCTCATCCTAACCCTAGTCCTGACCATAATCCTGACTCTAACCCTGACCCTAACCCTGAATCTAACTCTTACCCTGACACATCACTCTGTTTGTTCCAGGGTGACCCCGGGGAACCGGCGCGTGGCGGGGAACAGGGTCCACCAGGGCCCAGAGTGAGTGACCCCTCCCCTCTCCACGCAGCGACACCACCGACTCCGGCACCTCGCACGCCCCTGGCACGCCCCTGGCACACACCTGGCACACACACACCTGGCACGCACACCTGGCACACATGGTATGGTCACCTGGCACAAACCTGGCACACCCTTGGCACGTACCTGGCACACACCTCGTTACACGTACCTGGCACGCACAACTGGCACGAACACCTGGCACACAGCTGATACAAGCCTGACACTATACACGCACACACAAGACAAACTCGCAGCACACACCACCTCACCTGAAACAATCACACAGAGGCACCCCTCCTCTCCGCCGCCCTCCTCCCTCACCCCGACTCCCGGAAGCGAGGTTCACCTCCCATCTGGGCATGGGTGCCGCGTCTGTGCCATGTGTTGCAGGGGCAATCGGGCTTCTCCGGTGAGCCAGGGGATCCGGGATTTCCGGGGCGGCCGGGGTTCGCTACGGTGAGACGCCCCCCCTTCCCCCACCCTACGCTAACATGCTGCTCGAGGTGGTGCACTTCTCACTCGTTCCTGTGCTGTGTGTGTGCAGGGCCCACCTGGGGCCACCGGCCCAGAGGGGTACCCTGGGAGGAAGGTGAGGAGAGGGTCCCGTGTATCTCTGTGTCTATATTTACCATGTGTCTCTGTGTCTTTGTGTCAATACAATTACCCATCCCGCCCCCTTGAGTGGAGGTGATATTATATTTAAAGTAAATACGATTTACGGTTTATGTTTACTGTGCTTCTCTCCGTCTCTGTGTCTATGTTCGCCACGTGTCTCGGTGTCTCTATCTGTGTGTCCAAATGTCTGCAGGGTCAGCCAGGATTCCCGGGGTCACCAGGAAACCCAGGTTTTCCAGGGTTAAAGGTCAGAGAATGAATCCCAGCTGCAGCACCACTGAGCCAACACGTGGTGACGCGCATGTGTGTGTGTCATTATGTGTGTCACAGTAGTGTTGGGAGTTGTCGTGGAGCAGTTAACATGTTGCGCTACGAACCTGGAGATCCGAGTTCGAATCCCGCTCGTGGCCAACAGTAACGATTACTTTAACTGGTCCTTGGCCACCCGAGGTCAACTCAGCCTCAAATGAGTACCTTGTGTGGTGTGTAGACATCACCACAAGGGAGACAAAGCTGGCTGAGTGTGGTGTTGGGCACCCACCCCTCCTGCGCCGTACCTACCTTCATAGGAGCTTCTCGCTAACAGCACTTGCCCCAACAGTATGTTAAAACTATACGGGGGATCTTTGTCTTTGTCACTGCCGTGTGTGCGCAGGGTGAACAGGGAGATCGGGGTCTTCCAGGCCCTGAACCGTTCAGTGTGGGGCAGGAAGGTTTGATCCCCCCTCCGTTCCGGATGACACATCGCTCCCCACCACACCCCCTTCACCCCCATATCTGCAAATGTTTATTTGTGGTTTGGGCTGATCTCACCCATGGAGTTGGGGCGGCAGCCGCGTCTGCGTTGATGCAGCGCGGAAGTCACGTCCAGAGGGGGCCACCCGGTGTCCATGAGGCTCAACAGGGACATAAGGCCACTGGGTGGCTCCTCCCCTCCTGCACTCAGCCCCACCCACTGAGCCACTAGCCCCGCCCTCTGAGCTGCTAGCGTCGCCCACGTAGCGAGCGAACCTCCTCCACGTGGTGTTAACTCTCTCGCCCTGTGGCGAGGGAGTTAACACCTCACCTGGTATGCAGGTGTTCACAGGTTCGATCCCGACCCTGACACCTGTTGTATATTTAGAGTTTGCATGTCTCTCTCCCCATGGTTGTGGGGATTTTTCTCCATTTCTCCAGGTCCTCCGGTTTTTCTATCCGCATTTACAAACATGCATTTCGAGTATTTGGCTGCTATACATTTCCACGTGATAAGCCACTTGGTTGAGCTATTATTTGTGGCCAGGTCGCTTCTGAAAAAGAGCTGCATAGCTCAGTGGACCTCACCTGGTAAAGTAGAAATAGAAGATTCACTAAGTCGACTCAACCTCAAATAAGTACCTGGTGCGACATGCAAAACATCAGCACTGGGGTAACAAAGGTGGCCGGGCGTGGCACTAGGTACTCCACCCCCTCGGAGGTGCTGCTTGCGAAGAGCTCTTACCCCAAAAGTCTGTGTAGGCTACACGGGGGATCTTTATCTCTGTTGCACGTGTGTGTACACTTGCGCGTGTGTGTTTTTGTGTGTGCTGGAACGCTGCCAGGCCTTCCCGGAGACACGGGGTCCCCTGGGAACCCCGGACCGTCCGGTGCCCCCGGGAATAGGGGCACCCCAGGATCTCCCGGTCCTCCCGGCCAGATCATCGGTGGCCCAGGTAAAACTAAACTATAAAGATAAATATTTTTTTATTTGATTGGGTAAGGCCCACACTGAGCTATGTAGCAATTTTTCAGAAGCGACCTGGACACATATTATAGCTCAACCAAGTGGCTTTATTGTGTGGAAATTAGAGCAGCCAAATACTCTGAATGCATGTTTATCCTACATGTGAAGGGAAAATCCGGAGGACCCGGAGAAAAATACACTTGACCACGGGGAGAACGAAAATATACAGGCATCAGGGTTGGGATCGAACTCACGACCTGTATATCAGGCGAGGTAGTTAACATATCACCACCGCGGCACCCTGACACATTAGGTGCGTGACTCCTACCCCTACTACCACCACCAACACTACATCAACAACTACTACTACAATGTATGAGCAACAGGGTGGTGGTGCAGTGGTGACACTCGTGCCTCCAAGCAAGAAGTCCTTGGGTTTGATTCCCGACTCGGGTGCCTCTCTGCGTGGAGTTCGTATGTTCTCCCCCTCTTCTGCAGAGTGAGTGTGAGCATGAGTGGGTGACTGTGTAAATTTTATATGCCTTCTAAACACTCATTCATGGAGTTAGCCTAACATCAAAATACAGGACGACAGAGCTTGGTCAATTGCCGGCTATGGTTTAACCGTGCCTCTAAATCATTCCATATCTCCAAGAGTGAGCGAGAACTGTGCAGCGCATTACAAATAACATCAAGTAAATTATTCTTTAACCAATTAGAATAATTCGAATAAATTATACTAAAATTGTGGCAAATTATAATTCATGACAATAATATCCACGACAGCCGGAACTACAGAAGCGACCAGAGGATTCGCGATCACGGCCTCCTGCAGAGGTCTTCAGCTCCAATCTTTCTCACTCCCCTCTTCACCCCCACCCCCTCACGTGTGGTGGGGTAAAGTATGGGTACTCCCACTCCTGCAAAGATGTCTGGCTAGAATGAGAGTGGCCCTGGAGGTTGGCACTGGAGCCCTTGTAGTGGAGTCCCCTCTGCCAGCAGTGGAGTGAGTGAGCACTTGCAGAGCTGTTCCTTGACCTTTTAATAACAACAGCAGGAGCTACACAGGTGAATGGCTATAACTACATTAACAACGACGACTAGCAACAATAAAAATCGCATTGACGTAGGTGGTGCTGCATTGTGCTGCGTTACATTGCCTTGTGCCGTGTTGTGTTGTGCCATGTTATGCTGTGTTGTACCCTGAAATATTGCATTGTTGTGCTGCGTTGCGCCATGTTGTGCCGTGTTGTGCTGCGTTGTCCCGCGTTGTGCTGCGTTGCGTTGTGCCATGTTACGTTTTGTTTGCGCCGTGTTGTGCTGCGTTGTGCCGCGTTGTGTCGCGCCGTACCACGCCACCGGTAATAACTCTACGCATCCTGTTTCTCCTCTGTTGCAGCTGAGGATGGTATCCCTGGGTTTCCAGGCACGCGGGGGCCCAAGGGGTATTCCGGGGACCCCGGGGCCCAGGGGCAGGGGTACCCCGGCGCCCCCGGTCGCGATGGAGTGCCGGGGCCCCCTGGAGCTAAAGGGGCCAGCGCCGGGCAAGCCGGTGGTGAGTCTGTGGCCGGCACGACGACAGCACGTTACAGCTGCATTGTGCCCCCGATATCGAGTGCTCTTCGCTCCGCCCTCGGGCCCTGCTTGGCCCCAAGCCATATTCAAGATGTCTCCTTGCGAGGCTGCCGGCGTGGCACGGTTAAACTAAAAACTAAAACTTTAACAATTTTTTCATAATAATAGGGATCTTTTGTTTGGTTAGAGCGCGTACATTTTAATTTTAATTTTACCAGGTTAGGCCCACTGAGCTATCTAAGCCACCTGTCTACAAACGATAGCTCAACAAAGTGGCTTATATTCACGTGGACATTTATTGCAGCCAAATACTCTTTCATCTCGGCAACCACAAAATCCCCTGGAGGAAAACCAGTCGTACCATGCGGGCCCTGCGCTGGGTCGGCTCAGATTTGGCAGTGGAAAAGGGGCACACACACGGGAACGGGAGAGAGGGTGACCTCCTCCTAGCACCACGGTGTCCATATGTTAACTAACTCGCCTGGTATACAGGAGGTCGTTGGTTTGATCCTGATGCCCGTATATTTGGGGTTTGCATGTTTGTTCTTCCCGTAGTCACGTGGATTTTTCTCGAGGTCCTCGGGTTTTTACCTCCACATTTACAATCAACATCACATGTTCAGAGTATTTAGCAGCTATACATTTCTACGTGATAATAAGCCGATTCGTTGAGCTATCATCTGTGGGCAGGTCACTTCTGAAAAAGAGCTACATAGCTCAGTGGGCCTTACCTTATAAAAGAAATGGTTTTTAGTTTAGTTCCTCACCGATGCTTACCGGTCGCAGTGGTGATGCTGGACAGAAGCACGCCAAGCAAATGGCGTGGGGCCCCAAATGATTAAGGTACGGCCTGGTCCGAGGGACCCGGGCACCATACTGCTCGCTAAGAACACTTTCCCCAACAGGCTGTGTGGGCTACACGGGTGGGACCTTTATCTTTGTTGTTGGGTCTCGTTGCAGGGGGTGGCGGCGGGTCCCCCGGTCAACCCGGGGTTCCCGGACGAGACGGCCCTCCCGGAACTCGTGGGAGCCCAGGTGAGGGGTCTGTGGTGAGGGTATCATGGTTAGGGTATCATGGTGAGGGTACCATGCTGAGTTTACCATGCTGAGGGTAGCATGGTGAGGGTACCATGGTGAGGGTATCATGGTGAATTTACCATGCTGAGGGTACCATGGTCAGGGTACCATGCTGAGCGTACCATGCTGAGCGTACCATGGTGAGGGTACCATGGTGAGGGTACCATGGTGAGGGTACCATGCTGAGTTTACCATGGTGAGGGTACCATGGTGAGGGTACCATGGTGAGGGTACCATGCTGATGGGACCATGGTGAGGGTGCCATGGTGAGGGTACCATGGTGAGGGTACCATGGTGAGGGTACCATGCTGAGGGTACCATGGTGAGGGTACCATGCAGAGTTTACCATGCTGAGTTTATCATGCTGAGGGTATCATGGTGAGAGTACCATGCTGAGTTTACCATGCTGAGGGTATCATGGTGAGGGTACCATGCTGAGAGCTAAACTCGGGCCGATGGCTGGACTCAAGGCGGTTTTGTGCAGCCTCACTATTCTCTCACGCAGGCAGCCCCGGGGACTGTGACTGCCGCTCCATGGCCGGGCCCCGGCCCTTCCCCGGCCGACCTGGGGCCCCCGGCCCTCCCGGCCGCCCGGGGATGTTCGGGGGCCTGGGTCCCAACGGGAGCAGAGGAGACCCGGGGCCCTCCGGCCCCACTGGCCTCAACGGCCTGCCCGTGAGCATCACCTGGAATGCGGCACGCACGCGTCAAGCGCGCATGTCACACCCGCACACACACGTCGGGTGCATCACACCTATACACACGTGTCACGTGAGGTCATAAATGCATGTCGAATGCATCACACCCACATGTTGCATGCATCACACACTTGTCGCATGCATCACACACGTGTGACACATGAAAGCAATACATGCGTCACACACGCAGCGCGTGCCGACTGAAAAGCCTCAGCATCTCACGGCTGCTTACGTCTCCTGGGCTCAACCATTCGGGTGCCTTGCTGCAGTCTAGCCAAGGGGACCACCCAGTGGCAGCTGTCCTTGTGCAGCACAACGTGAACACAGCACTGCCCTGCAGGTGGGCATTAGTTTGCCAGTAGGAGGCGATGTTTGCCATGTGTCCTCCCAACTTCTCCAAATAATTTTTCTAAATTTCGCAAACTTTGGCCCGCAGCGACGGCCCCCGATGGTCACCTCTTATGAACGTCACGACGATTCGGTAACATCCACCAGGAGGGAAGCGGATGATGGCTTCTTGTGTTGCATGGCCATGAGTATCGGCGACAGCTTGCAGAGGCCCTCATCCAGCAGCGGATAGACCATTACTCATGATGACAATGATAGTTATCATGGTTATCATGATGATAACGATGCTAATGATGGTGATGATGACGATGATGGTAATGATGGTGATGATGACGATGATGATAATGCGTTCCAGGGTGCGCCAGGACCCACAGGGCCCCAAGGGGAGAAGGGGGAGCGCGGGGACCCATCCAGGGTCTCCGCTACAGCTAAAGGTACCGGGGCTTGTGATAGGGAGTGGCAGCTGCCTGCCCCGACCCCTGACCCATGCCAGGATTTCTTTGTTAGCATGTGAGCATGCGCGTGTGTGTATGCGTTGTTACCATCAACCAGAGGCGGGGAGTGGTGGTCGTGATTATTTATGCCCCTGAACATCAATGGAGGGATGCAGGCAAGGCCGATGAGTCAGATGCCTTCTATGACCTGTCACAGGTGCTAGCTAAAGTGGCCCCTCAGGATAGAGTCATCCTGTTAGGTGACTTTAATACCCGAGTTGGTCATGCTGGCACCTGGTCTGGAGTGATTGGAAGGCATGGGCCAGATCAGCTCAATAACAACGGTCGGTGGCTGATAGACTTTTGTGCAGCCCATGGGCTTTTAATTATCAATACGCTGTTCCGGCATCGGCGCAACCACACAAGATGGATGCACGCCGGGTCCAAGCAAGAACATCTGCTAGACTACATAGTGATGGAACAGCGGATGCGGGCCCATGTCCTTGACACCAGACCCTACCAAGAAGCCAATCTGCCGACTGACCATCGGCTTGTGATCTGTAAGATGTGCCAGCTATTCTTCCACTCCAGTGGTAGGTGTACAGCCAGAACCCCATTCAAACGCACAGTGGCCTGATCTCAGCTAGCTAATGAAAGTTGCAAGCGAGAATTTCATCATCGCTTGTGGCTGGGGTTGGCATCCTCCGCTACTGATGCCAAGGGGAAATGGGCGAGGTTTAGGACTGTGGCTCATGCAGCTGCAATGGATGCTTTACGTACGCGGTCCAGACCTCCCCAGAGACCTTGGCTGACAGAGGAGGTGTTCAGGATGGTTGAGGAAAAGCGACAGGCCCACTTTAATCGTCTACAGCAGGGGTCGGGAACCTATGGCTCGCGAGCCAGATGTGGCTCTTTTGATGATTGCATATGGCTCGCAGATAAAACAAAATATTCTCACTTGTTTTAATCCATCCATCGGTTTTTCACTGCGCATGTCCTGTTCAGGGCTGCAGGAGCAATTGTCCATTATTTTAATTGGATGATACTGGCCTACGTTTGCCGTTGCTGGGTAAAACAGGTAAACGCCCCCTTTTGAATCAGTCTGAGACTGCGTCTGCTCGGTCATTAGCTCAAAGCTAACCCTTCGACGAAGAAGTTGGCGAAAAGAAAAAAAGACGACGAGTATCGTACATTTCAGGACGAATGGACCGAAGAATTCGCCTTTGTGGAGAGAGCGGGTTCTGCGGTGTGTCTAATTTGCAATGACAAAATTACATCGTTGAAACGGTCGAATGTAAAGCGGCACTTCGACACGCGCCACGCTACCTTTGCATCAAAATACCCTGCGGGAGACAGCAGAAAGAAAGCGTGCCAAGAGCTGAGCAGGGTGCAAGCTAGCCAGCAGCAACTCCGCGTATGGACCCGGCAAGGTGACTATAATTCGGCTAGCTTTGCTGGTTCTTTAGCAATAGTGAGGAACGGAAAACCATTCACAGATGGCGAGTATGCTAAAACGTTCATGCTGGATGTAGCCAATGAACTTTTTGATGATCTTCCGAACAAAGACAAGATAATCAAACGGATACAAGACATGCCTCTGTTCGCAAGAACTGTTCATGATCGTACCATCGTGATGGCAAACAAAGTGGAGGAAACGCAAGTGAAGGACATAAATGCAGCGCCGTTCTTTTCTCTGGCTTTGGATGAGTCAACAGACGTGAGCCATTTGTCGCAGTTCAGCGTGATTGCAAGATATGCTGTTGGTGACACACTGCGCGAAGAAAGTCTTGCTGTTCTGCCATTAAAAGGGTCCACAAGAGGTGAGGATTTATTCAAGTCTTTCATGGAGTTTGCTCAAGAAAAAAGTCTACCTATGGATAAACTTCTCTCAGTGTGTACTGATGGTGCTCCGTGTATGGTGGGGAAAAACAAAGGATTTGTGGCGCTTCTCCGTGAACATGAAAATAGACCCATCCTAAGTTTCCATTGCATTATACACCAGGAGGCACTTTGTGCTCAGATGTGTGACAGGCAGTTTGGCGAAGTGATGTCGCTGGTCATTCGTGTGATCAACTTTATTGTTGCCCGAGCCTTAAATGATCGCCAGTTTAAAACACTGCTGGATGAAGTTGTAAATAACTATCCTGGTCTGCTTTTGCACAGCAATGTGCGTTGGTTGTCAAGAGGGAAGGTGCTTAGCCGTTTTGCGGCTTGCCTGAACGAAATCCGGACTTTCCTTGAAATGAAAGGCGTCGGGCATCCTGAGCTAGCCGACACCGAGTGGCTCCTCAAGTTTTACTATCTCGTAGATCTGACTGAACATCTGAACCAGCTCAACGTGAAAATGCAAGGCATTGGAAATACAGTGTTATCCCTTCAACAAGCTGTATTTGCTTTTGAAAACAAGCTGGAGCTTTTCATCACGGATCTTGAAACAGGTCGTTTACTACATTTTGAAAAACTGAGCCAATTTAAAGATGCATGCACAGCAAGTGAGCCCATTCAAAACCTTGATCTCCACCAGCTAGCTGGCTGCACATCCAGTCTCCTACAGTCCTTCAAAGCACGCTTTGGAGAATTTCGTGAGCACACTCGTCTTTTTAAGTTCATCACCCATCCAAACGAGTGTTCACTGAACACAGCCGACCTGAATTACATCCCTGGTGTGTCCGTCAGAGATTTTGAAGCAGAAGTGGCTGACCTGAAGGCCTCAGACATGTGGGTGAATAAGTTCAAGTCACTGAATGAAGATTTGGAAAGAATCACACGACAGAAAGCGGAGTTGGCGAGCAAGCACATGTGGACAGAAATGAAAAAACTCCAACCCGAAGACCAGCTGATTCTCAAAACTTGGAACGCGCTTCCTGTCACATACCACACACTGCAGCGTGTGAGTATTGCTGTATTGACCATGTTTGGATCTACGTATGCATGTGAGCAGTCATTCTCACATCTTAAAAACATCAAGTCCAACCTACGATCACGTTTAACGGATGAAAGCCTCAACGCTTGCATGAAGCTTAACCTCACCAAGTACCAACCCGACTACAAAGTACCAACCCGACTACAAAGACATCAGCAAATCCATGCAGCACCAGAAGTCGCATTAATGGTGAGTGTTATAACAACATTATTTAAAATAATAAATTCAGAGGCTTATTATACTGACATTTAGTTGAATTCACTTTTAAAATATATTATATGGCTCTCACTGAAATAAATTTCCAAATTTTTTGCTTTCATGGCTCTCTTAGTCAAAAAGGTTCCCGACCCCTGGTCTACAGCATCCCACGTCAGAGAATGATGAGGCTTACCGCAGCCTTCGCTCGGAGGTTCGGAGAGCCGTGAGGCACTGCGAGGATGGGTGGTGATTGCGGGTTGCTGAGGAGATGGAGTCTGCCTCAGTAGCCCGTGATCACAAATCACTCTTAACTCCATCAAAAAAGTAACTTGCAGCACCACACCGATCGCTATCAGGGGAAAGAAAGGTGATCCAATATCCGACCCCCAGGAACAAGTTTGCAGATTTTCTGAGCATTTCTGTGAGGTCTTGGGAGGAGGGGAAATCCCTCAGCCTGGAAAACATAATTGGGCAAAGTGGGGATGACTCTGCTGAGGCTGCAGTGCCTCATTGGAATAATTAGTTACCCCCTGTGAGTGGCTAGCTCAGGTGGCATCTGTTGAGGAAGTACAGAAAGCGATCCAGAGTCTGAGACCAAGAAAGCACCGGGCAGAGATGATTTCCCAAGCAAAATGCTGAGGGAGGGTGGCATTTGTGCAGACTGCCTTAATATGACATCATAATAACATTGACTTAAAGCTTTTGTGACTGCAGGAATTCATACTCTTTGGGTCTTTTGGTAAAGTCACGTAGATCGAAAAATAACAGATCACGACGTTTCGATCGCAACACAGGCAATCGTCTTCAGGTGAGAGAGACAAAGCTACTGAAACAAAGTCTTATATAGGCCTGAGATGGGAGTCGCCTCAGGGTAGGAGGGCGGGGCTAGAGAGGGTCTCCCTGAGGCTGTGGAAGTGCCCATTGTATTGTGAGAGATTAGCATGTCAATGATGCATTGGTGGCAGATCGAGTAGGACATCCAGCTTGTCAATACAAAGACATCCAACCTAGTAATGCAACTCAGAGTCAGCTAACATCGGCAGGAAGGATGTAAACATCACAGCAGGTTAAGACTTTACCTGGTTAATCACGTCCTTCCAATGATTGCTCAATTTGTACCCATCTTCTTGGTTGAAGTTGTGTCTGTGTTTATATATATGGATGGCATTATGGACAAATCTTTGATGATAGCCAGTGGGTTTGCATAGTACCTTCGTCTTGGAGAACTCAAATTCATGTGTGCCCACAGCGTTAAAATAATGGTCAGCCACGGCAGAGGTGTTGGTCCTACCATGTTTCAGATCTGCCTTGTGTTCACGAACATGGTCCGAGGCATGTCGTTTAGTTTCCCCAATGTAACTACTACCGCAGACACAGCTTAGTTTGTAGACACCGGGGTATTGCATGTCAGGGATCACATCCTTCACAGATGGGATCAGATCACGAATTTTATGTACTGTGTTGAATCGAACCTGGATCTTGTGTTTGTTCATGATTTTGGAAATATTTTTGGTAACCCCTGCTATGTTTGGCAAGGTGATGGTTTTCATTGGGTCCTCAAATGGTTCTCTCCCCAAGGTTGGGGTGACAGCTTTGCGGATTGTGCGATCCGAATATCCATTCATCTTGAGGCCTTGGTGTACGTTCTTCAGTCCACTGGCGAGGTGGTGATGGTCGGAAATGCAACGAGAGCCCTATGGTGTAGAGTTTTGATGAGGGAATTATTTTTTTTTGGGCTGGATGGTGGTGGGAGTCAGGTTTTAGATAGGCATCCGTGTGGGTGGCTTTCCTGTAGACAGAGTGTCCCAATGAACCATCTGGTCTCTTTTAAATTAAAACATCCAAGAATGGTAACTCCATGGTGAATTTGATGGGTGGGTGTACAGAATTTATGTGATTGAAGAATTGGTTCAGAGCTGGCAGGCCATGTGGCCAGATGACAAACGTGTCATCTACGTACCTCTTTCACAAGGAAGTATGTAGGATGGATGTCTGGATGGCATCTGTCTCGAACTTTTCCATGAAAACATTGACTACCACTGGAGATAAGGGAGAACCCATTGGGGGTACCTTCAACTTGTTTGTAGAATGTACCATTCCAGGTGAAGTAAGTGTTGGTGAGGCAGTGTCTAATCAGGGCCAGTACATCAGCATTCAGTCCTTGTAGGACCATATCTTCAATGATTTCAATGGTGTCAGGCACAGGAACTTTGGTAAACAAAGAAACTACATCGAGACTGACAAGCAAATCACCTGGAGATAGTGAGATGTCTTTTATTATAGATACCAAGTGAGCTAAGTTAAGTACAGCTGAGGTGGTCTTACCAGTGAATGGTTGTAAGGTCTCAGACAGAAATAGTGTCAGTTTGTAGGTGAGTGAGTCAATGGTGTCGACGATAGGACGGAGTGGTGTACCATCTTTATGGATTTTTGGTAAGCCATAAAATTTGGGTGGTCTAGCAGCAGAGGGTCTTAGAGAGAGCCGCTTGGTTCGTTCGATTAAAGATGTCGAATCAGTGATGATATTGTTGGTTTTTGTAACCAGGCGGTTGGCAGGATCTCTAATCTCGAGCAATGCAATGGCTTCTTCAGCACCGTAACCATGGGATTACATTAACAGATTGACATGCTAATCTCTAGCAATATAATGGCCGAGGTATACCTAGCTCTGCAACCTTACATCCATCTCGAGCCCCGCCCACTTACCCTTGGGTTGTACCCATCTCAAACCTTTATAACCTTTGGCTGCAGTAGCTCTCTCGTTACATTTCTTCCTGCCTCAGCAGTCCGCCTGCTGTATTTTTCCACCTGAAGATGATTGCTTGTGTTGCGATAGAAACGTGATTTTTTTTTTATTTGATTATTTTTCAATCTACATGACTTTACCGAGAGACCCAGAGAGTATTATTCATAAAACCATTGATGGCTGTACCAGAGGAATTTCCATCTGGTAAAGAAACAATGGGAGGCTGATCGATACCCAGGTACAGTCAACAGATGACTCCCTATTAGTCATCCATGTTACGTATGCTGATGATATGGTGATTGCTGCTCACTCAGAGGAGTTGGAAGTGCTGTTGCTGAGCCTGGAGTGCGCCGCGAAGAGGTGGGGTCTTACCATGAGCCCCACCAAAACTACGCACCTGCCTGGGTATTTTGTGCTATCAAACACTCCACCCCCAGAACTCTCAATTGTTGATGGGGCAGTTGTGGAGAGAGTGTAGAGTTTTCCATACATGGGCAATATAGCAGCATGATCTTTTCATTGGCTTAGTAACACTGTGTGGAAGCTACCTGGTCTGTCACTCCACACGAAGCTTTGGGTCTTCTCGGCCATGGTCATGCCCTCTCTTCTCTATGCTTGCGAAACGTGGACCCCCTCATGGAACATCTTCATCGGTTAGAAACATTTAGGCTGGCCTGCCTGAGTTTAACCAGGCTGGATTATGTGAGAAGCTCACAAATCTTTGAAAGATCAGGACAAAGTCCCATCGGTGAGCTCCTCCGGCAGCCAAGGCTGCATTGGCTGGATCATGTAGCCCGCATGCTCAGCCACTACATACCTAAACATCTTTTTGGCTGGGTTGAGGGGGCTGAGTGGACTTGCCGATGACTGGTACCAGCGGTGTCAAGATCAGCCTCTGTAGAGGTGGCTCATGAAGGATGCTACTGGGCAGTTGGAGGCAGTCCTGCAGCAACAGCAGAGGGCAGAGGAGCGAGGCTCCCAACAATGAGCGGAGCGCCGGGTGGCTAAAGCGCAGAAACTTGGCACAGGACGGGGCACAGGTGGTACATCAGCCTGTCATCTCAGTCAACCTATAGCACTTGGGTCTGTCCGGTGACCTGCCAGCGGGCATTCATGTAGCCTTTACGTGTAGCCTAGCACAAGCGCCATGGTGATGTCACTGCCACTAACTGGTGAATGGCGGTTATGTTGTGTGTGTGCTTGTGTGTGTGTCTGTGGAGAGAGATAGTCTCGCGGTTGGCGCGTTTCACTACGGACCTGGCGACCTGTGATCGATTCCTACTCGTGGCCATCACCGGTGACGATTATCTGAACCAGTCCTGGGTCTCCCCTGGTCATCTCAGCATAAAATTAGTACCTGGTGCAGTATGCAAACAATGGCCGGGCTTGGTGTTGGCCACCCACTCCCTCTTGTGCCGTGCTGGCCTTTGAAGATGCTTGCTAACAGCACTTGCCCCAACAGTCTGTCAAGGCTATACCGGGGATCTTTGTGCATATATGTGTGTTTTATGGAGAGTGGTAGTTAGCGTGCTGTGCTAATAATCCGGTGACCTGATTTCGATTCCCGCTCACGGCCAACACCAGTGACGATTATCTGAACCGGTCCTGGGCCTCCCCTACATCGGCTCAGCCTAAAATGATTCCCTGCTGCGATGTGTAAACATCGCCACTAGGGAGACAAAGGCGGCTGGGCATGGTGCTGGCCACCCACCTCCTCATGCGCTCTGCCGACCTCCGTAGGTGCTCGCTAAAAGCACTTGCCCCAATAGTCTGTATTTGCCACAGGGGGGGGACTTTGTGTGCGTGTGATCCAGGCGAGAAGGGCAACCCTGGTTTGCCAGGGCCGAGCGGACAACCTGGTCAACCGGGGTCTCCGGGGTCAAGAGGACGAGATGGGAACCCCGGGTTCAAGGGCCCCCCGGTGAGTTCCCCCTTTTTGCTGACTGAGGGTTGTGGTGAAGAGCTGGGTGGATCAGAGGGCGGATCCGGCACCGTGGAGATCTGAGGTTCCACTATGGGTTTCAGCCCCAACCACATCGATTACACTGGAGTCTCATAGGCTCACACAGAGACCCATTCACTCCCTTAGAGACCCACAGACTCACGTAGAAATGCATAAACTCACATAAAGACCCATAGACCCATATAGAGACCAGTAGACTCACATAGAGACCCAAAGACCCACATAGCGTGCAATGTCGCGCGTGTCGTCCACGCGTGTAATGTCTCACGTGTGTCGTCCGCACGTGTCACGTCGTGTGTGTCTCCCGCACGTGTAACGTCGTGCGTGTCGTCCGCACGTATAACGTCGTGCATGTCGCCCATGCGTGTAGCGTCGCGCCACCACGCGGTCATTCTCTCCCACGTTTTCATCTCTGCCGCAGGGAGACGCCGGCAGCAGCGTCCGGGGGGACATCGGCCCCCCTGGGAACCCCGGGCGCCTGGCTGTTTCGGGACAGCCCGGTGCCCCGGGGATGGGGCTGGTAGGACTGCCGGGAGTTCAGGTACCTGGCGACCCTGGGATTCCAGGTCTGCCCGGCTTCCCCGGCGCACGGGGACCCCAAGGTATGGTCTCCCCCATAGCCGCGAATAAGGACGGCGTTTATTGATGGTGATAATAATAATAAGTGTGTGTGTGTGTGAGAGACTAACTATAAACGATTAAACATTTTATTTTTATTTTACCAGGTAAGGCCCACTGAGCTATGCAGCTCTTTTTCAGAAGCGACCTGGCTATTACAAATTATATTTCAATGAAGTGGCTTATCATGTGGAAATTTATAGGAGCCAAATACTCTTAAACACAAGTTTCTGAATGTGGAGTGAAAAACCGGAAGACCAGGAGAAAAATCCACGCGACCACGGGGAGAGAGACTTGCAAACTCTAGATATACAGGTGTCAAGGTCGGGATCTAACCCACGACTGCCTGTATACCAGGCGAGGTAGTTACAATCTCGCCACAAATAGAAGGGTGGCTCAGAGGTCAGATTTCCGAACATGGTGAGTTTCAGCCGCCCAGCCACTGTGATTCGACCGCCCAGAAGTCAGGCCCTGTGGTGAACGATGGCTGCGTTTGCTTTACCGGACACCTGAAGTGCAGCGCGAGCGTCAAGCCTCACTGTGCTCGATGGGATCGCCCCATGGGGCACCACGAGCGTGGTCACGAGCAGAGCAGTCACGGCAGGCGGAGAGGGCACCCGAGGAGTTGCTGCACCTGAGCCGTGAGCCCATTGCCGGCTCCGGTTCAGCAGCGGAGGTCTCGCTCCCAAATTAGCCGGGCGGCATTATCTTTTCATCGGCTGCGTAATGCTGTGTGGAAGATACCTGGCCTGTCGCTCCACACAAAGCGCCGTGTTTTCTCAGCCAAAGTCATACCCTCCCTTCTCATGCTTACGAAACATGGAGCTCTCTAAAGTAACATCTTTGCCAGTTTGAAACATTCAGGCTGGCCTGCCCACAATCCATCCTGGGTTTAATCAGGCTGGATCGTGTGAGGAGCTCACAAATCCATGGAAGATATGAACAAAGTCCCATCGGTGACATCTTCTGGCAGGGAAAGGTGCGTTGGCTGGGTCATGTAGCCTGCATGCCCTGCCACCGCATGCCTAAACAGCTTTTGTTCGGCCAGATAGAGGGGGATAAATGGGCGCGGCACGGGCTAGAGAAGAGATGGAGTGATGTGGTACAAGAGGATGTGGAGCTGAGTGTGTAACACTGTGTGTGTGTAACTCTGTGTGTACAGGTGACACTTTGCCGTGTCCTGTGAAGGGAGAAGCCGGCCGACCGGGGCTGCCCGGATTACCGGGCCCAAGTGGTGATGGACACACTCACTCACAGCACCACTCTGTTTGTCCGTGTGTCTCTGTGTGTATGTAGTGAGCGGTAATGCAGTGGTTAGTGCACCTCGCTATGAAACCGGCCATCTAAGTTGGATTCCCACTCACGACCAACTTTGGTGACGAATATCTGAATTGGTTCTGGGCCTTCCATAGCTTTACTAAGCCTGAAAGGAGTACCTGGTGCAGTGTATAAACAGCAGCACTCATGAGACAAAGGCGGCCGGGCGTGGTGCTGGCCACCCACCCCTTCATGTGCCATGCCGGCCTTCATAGGTGCCCGCTAACAGCACTTGCCCTAACAGCCTGTGTGGGCTACATGGGGGATCTTTGAATGTTTGTGTGCCTGCACTTATGTCTGTGCATCTGTGGTTGTGTTTTATTTATTTTTGTATGAAACTGTGTCTTGCCTTGTCTGTTTCCATGTCTCGTTGTGTCTGTGTTAATGTCTCGTTGTGTCTATATTTATGTTTCGTGTCTGTATTTATGTCTTGTGTGTGTTTCTCTCTTGTCGTGTCTGTTTTTATGTCCCATCATGTCTGTTTATGTATTGTTGTGCATTGACACCGTACCTCCTGTGCCTCGCCCCCCAGGACCCCCGGGGCTGGACGGATTCCGAGGGACCCCCGGGTTCCCGGGGACCCCGGGCCTCAAGGGGGACATGGGGGACCCTGGGGTCCCAGGAGTGGGGGGCACACTAGGTGAACCAACATAACCTCTCTACTGATGCTCAATACCACGATGGAGGGTGGTGGTGATGATCCTGATGATGATTATCATAATGGTAGTGCTGCTGCTGATGATAGTGATGGTGCTGATGATGATGCTGATGATAATGCTGATGGTAGTGGTGATGTGATAAAGATGATGATCGTGGTGCTGATGGTGGCGGTGATGATACTGATGATAGTGGTGGTGCTGATGATGATGATGCTGATGATGGTGATGATGCTGATGATGATAGTGGTGGTGCTACTGTTGATGATGATGCTGATGACGTCACCCACAGGCTTCCCTGGGCCCAGTGGGGACCCAGGGCTGCCGGGCTCCCCGGGGCGCCCCGGAGCAACAGGGTCCCTGGGGCAGCCCGGCCGACCCGGGACTCCGGGAAGCAAGGGGCCCCCAGGGGATGTGCTGGGGGCCCGAGCCGGAGAGCCGGGGCCTTCAGGGCCCCCCGGGCCCCCTGGGGAGAAAGGGATACCCGGGGACCGTGGCCGGGATGGGGAGAGAGGTGAGTTAGATCCATAACAATGACGTTGATGGTGGCCGGCGGTGGTGAGCGAGGTGAGCGAGGTGAGCGAGGAGATGAGCAGGGTAAGAGTGGTAAGCAGAGTGAGTGACAGTCTGCCGTGTGTTCAGGCAGAGATGGATCGCTTGGCTTTCCCGGGGTCAAGGGCGACCGAGGGGTCGGCGGATTCCCCGGAAACCCAGGGCCTGATGGAAGGCCGGGGCCCTCCTCACCGGGGCCCGTGGGCCTTCCCGGGCCCCCTGGATCTTCAGGCCGGCCCGGCCAGAATGGTGAGACCGGCCACATTCCAGCCGCGCTTATTGATATCTTGGTCATGGGCTTGATAGAAACCGGTGAGGTATCTACCAATGGATCGCCCTGCTGTTCCTCTCTCCCCCAGGCTTCCCTGGCTCCCCAGGGCCGCAGGGAGACCCTGGGCTCTCAGTGTCCGAGGGATACAAGGGGCTCACTGGGCCCCCCGGGTTCCCCGGGCTGCCTGGACCTCCCGGACCCCCCGGGTCACCGTCTTCTCTGGGCCGGGATGGGAACCCTGGACAGCCCGGCTTCCCCGGTACGCTAGCCCCCCACCTTCCCCCGCCGTCATCGTCGTGTCAGCTGAGCTATAGTCTCATTAGCTATGAGATGACAGGTTTTGACATGCTCGCTCGTTTGTCTCTTGTGTCCGTGTGGCGCAGGCCCCAAAGGAGACCCCGGGATCCTGGGCTTCCCGGGTCCACCTGGGCCCATGGCACGCTCAGGGGAGCCCGGCCTGCGTGGCCCACAGGGTCAGAATGGAGCCGCGGGCCGGCCCGGGGCCCCAGGGGCCAACGGCAGGAAAGGTAATTGCAGCGGCCTTATACTTAAGGCTGTGGCCCAGGACGCCAAGGCCGCGAGCTTTGTGGGTGGATGCCTGGTTGTTTTTCCTGGGAAATCCTCTTGTTTAAGAGCAGGAGGCAGTTGCTGCTGTCTTAGAGAAATCTCTCGGTTTTCCCTGGGACATTAAACGTCCCGGTTTTTGTCGGTCATGTGACCTGGATTTTAACTATTTGGTTGTGAGCTGCTTGCTCTGCCGCTGAGCCACGTGACCGGATAGGAGGTGGGAAACGTAGATTCCACGCCACGTCGCCCGTGACCAGGACATGTGTGACTACGAATTAGAGAGATAAACGGCCTCTCTCATCGTGCATCCCTCTGCCTCGCGTGCAGGCGAGGGAGGAGACCCGGGGCAGCCCGGCCTCACTGTGGCCGGCCCTGACCTTCGCGGGCAGACAGGGGACCTGGGAGATGCGGGGTTTCCTGGGACCCCGGGGTTCCCCGGTCGCGCAGGTAACCCTACCCTCTCCTACAATACCCCACGCTTCCTTCATCTCTGCACATTGGGCCTTGGGGCTCCACCAAGGTCCGTAGAGACCCATATAGACCCCTAGACTAGTGTAGAGACTCATAGACTTCCATCCATACCTATAGACTGGTATAGAGATACATAGACTCCCATAGACACAAATAGAATGGTGTAGATACTCATACACTCTCTTAGAGATCCATAGATTGGTGTCGGGACTCATAGACTCTCATAGAGGCCTATTTCCTGGTGTAGTGACTCACAGACTCCCATAGAGATCCACAAACTGGTGTAGGGACTTATAGACTACCATAAACGTATGTAGAGACTCATAGACTCCCATAGAGGATCAGAGAGTCGTATAGACTCTTAGATGCCATAGACTGGTGGAGAGACTCACAGACTACCATAAACGTGTGTAGAGACTCATAGATTCCTTCGAGACCTATAGGCTGGCGTAGAGACCCATATACTCCCATAGAGACCCAAAGACTCATAGAGACCCATAGACTCCCATAGAGACCCGGCGCCCTACACCCCTCCCCCTCAGGTCCCGTGCCCCTCTCCGTCCTCACCAAGCCCTCTGACCTTGCCCGTTGTCAAACCCGCCTCATCCCGTTGCGACCGCCCCCACTACCCCCACCCCCCCTAAGTCAGCCATATGGGTGTGGCTTCCTCACTCCCTCGTGGACCCCCACCGTGAATGTAGCCCCCCCACCACCCCTACCTCTACGTTGGTCGCTACCGACTCACGTGGAGACTCATGGAGTGCCTGTCCCTGGATTTCTGCGCCAATCCGCCGGTGTTTGTCACGAACTCTCCCGTGGCACTGCACTACATAGCATCATCGTTTGTGACCTCTTTTTATAAGTGATTTGTTTACGTTTTCTAGACTTTGTATTCCTATTGTGTTTTAGTGTTTTTGTAAGCTGCCCCTACTGTGAAAAACATATTTCCAGCTCATTGGATTAATCGAGTATAAATTACATACCTGTCAACTCCTTTTCAGTACCTACCTTATTACAGATCAATTCAGACCTTATTAGTCACCCCGTGCCCTTATAAATCTCAACGTTCATCTATCACAAGGGAAAAACACAAACAGACAAAAAAGTGTTTTTGTTACCCGTATTGAAACGACTGTCCGCTGTATGGTCCTGAAAACTCAATTTCCCTCTTCAAGAATACGGGTAAACCGTATGGGTTGACAGCTATGAAAATATCACACCTCTGATTAGGACAGTTGGCTATATACGGTGCAAACAAAGTTCAACATACATACAGATTTTGAGTCTGATTCTGACCTTTACTGTTCGCAGAAAGGAACGGCGACTCTCCTCTCATTGCCTCCGGGCCCCGTGGGTTCCCCGTGTGTCCACAGGAGACCCGGGCCCCAACGGGAGACCAGGGGCCCCGGGTCGTCCTGGTTTCCCCGGCGCTCCCGGCTCCTTGCTGGGCTTTGTCGGAGACCCCGGGCTCCCCGGATTTGCCGGATTGGTGGGGGTCAAGGGCCCCCCTGGTTTTCCTGGACCCCCCGGATTCCCAGGATCTGTGGGACCCCCGGTAAGCCAGAGGTGGAAGGGATTTAGGGGTTCGGGATTTCAGGCAAGTGTGAAACCAGGTGTGTGTGTTCAAATACAAAGGGCGCCCGTGTAGCCTGTTGGGGCAAGTGCAGTTAGCGAGCACCTGTTAAAGCTAGCATGGCGCATGAGAGATGGTGTGGCTGATACCACACCTGGCCGCTTTTTTATTTGTATCTGTGTATGTATATCTGATTGTATACGTGTGTGTGTGTACGTATGTTTGTGGGGAGCGCTGGCACAGCGGTTAGCGCGCTGCGCTACGAACCCAGCCACCCGAGTTTGATTCCCGCTGACAGCCAAACCAGTGACAATTATCTGAACCGGTCCTGGGCCTCCCCGAGATTGACTCAGCCTCAAATATGTACCTGGTGCAATGTGTAAACATCGCCACTTAGGAGACAAAGGCGGCCGGGCGTTGTGCTGGCCACCCACCCCCTCGTGTACCGTGCCGGCCTTCATAGGTGCTCGCTAACAGCACTTGCCCCAACAGTCTGTTAAGGCTACATGGCGGATCTTTGTCTTTGTGTGCAGGGAAGTGACGGCTTCCCAGGGCGCCCAGGATACCCCGGCGGTGCTGGATTCCGCGGCGCTAAAGGTGACTTTGGTTTGACTCGTTGTTCACCCACAAATTAATCTAAACTTAAAATATGAGAATAGGTTTTCCCCTTTTTTCTGGCAACAAAATAGGTGTTAAGATATACTCTTTGGGTCTTTTGGTAAAGTAACATAGATAGAAAAATAATATATCAAGACGTTTCGATCATAACACAGGCAATCGTCTTCAGGTGAGAGAGAGAAATCTACTGAAACAAGGTCTTATATAGGCCTGAGAAGGGAGTCCCCTCAGGGTAAGGGGTCGGGGCTAGAGATGGTCTCACTGAGGCCATTGTATTGTGAGAGATTAGCATGTCAATGATGCATCGGTGGCAGATCGAGTAGGACATCCAGCCTGTCAACACAAAGACATCCAACCTAGTAATGCAATGCAGAGAGTCAGCTAACATTGGCAGGAAGGATGCAAACATCACAGCAGGTTAAGACACCCACACGGTTGCCTATCTAACACCTAACTCCCACCACCATCCAGCCATGAAGAATTCCCTCATCAAAACCCGACACCATAGGGCCCGTTGCATCTCCGACCAGCACCATCTAGCCAGTGAACTGGAGCACGTACACCAAGGCCAAAAGATGAATGGATATTCGGACCGCACAATCCGCAAAGCTGTCACCCCAACCTTGGGGAGAGAATCATTTGAGGACCCAATGAAAACCATCACCTTGCCAAACATAGCAGGGGTTACCAAAAAGATTTCCAAAATCATGAACAAACACAAGATCCAGGTTCGATTCAACACAGTACATAAAATTCATGATCTGATCCCATCTGTGTGATGTAATCCCTGACATGCAATACCCCGGTGTCTACAAACTAAGCTGTGTCTGCGGCAGTAGTTACATTTGGGAAACTAAACGGCATGTCTCGGACCGTGTTTGTGAACACAAGGCAGATCAGAAACATGGTAGGACCAACACCTCTGCCGTGGCTGATCATTGTTTTAACGTTGTGGGCACACATGAATTTGAGTTCTCCAAGACGAAGGTACTATGCAAACCCACTGGCTATTATCAAAGATTTGTCCATGATGCCATCCATATATATAAACACAGACACAACTTCAACCAAGAAGATGGGTACAAATTGAGCAATCATTGGAAGGACATGATTAACCAGGTAAAGTCTTAACCTGCTGTGATGTTTCCATCCTTCCTGCCTATGTTAGCTGACTCTGAGTTGCATTACTAGGTTGGATGTCTTTGTATTGACAGGCTGGATGTCCTACTCGATCTGCCACCGATGCATCATTGACATGCTAATCTCTCACAATTCAATGGGCACTTCCACAGCCTCAGGGAGACCATCTCTAGCCCTGCCCTCTTACCCTGAGGTGACTCCCATCTCAGGCCTATATAAGACTTTGTTTCAGTAGCTTTGTCTCTCTCACCTGAAGACGATTGCCTGTGTTGCGATCGAAAACGTCGTGATCTGTTATTTTTCTATCTACGTGACTTTACCAAAAGACCCAAACAGTATGAATTCCTGCAGTCACGAAAGCTTTAAATCAAGGTGTTAAGATGTTAAAACACCAAACTGAAACCTTTTAAAATGAATCATGTCTGCATCAACCACAATACTTGTGGTCAGAATGCAAACAAAAACATACTCTGATAATATATGGCATTGTCTTTGAAACTGATTGGTCCACACCAGAGACAGCTTTCTTTGGAGCCTAGTCTCAAAAGGTGTTAGACCAGAGGATGCCAAAAGGCGTCCACAGCACAAAGACAACGCATTATTAGAGTAATGAGAGCTTGGGGTGAACAGCTACATCATGGGACTTCCTTTGCATTCTGACCACAAGTATTGTGGTTAATGCAGACATGATTCCTCGTAAAAGGTTTCAGTTTGGTGTTTTAACATCTTAACACCTTGACTTAAAGCTTTCGTGACTGCAAGAATTCATACTCTTTGTGATTTTACCGAAAGACCCAAAGAGTATCTTAACACCTGTTTTGTTGCCAGAAAAAAGGGGAAAACCTATTCTCATATTTTGGTACTGGCAAAGGAGGTTCCATGATGTGTCAGGGTCAGTATCTAACCCACGACCTCCTGTATACCAGGTGAGGTAGTTCATATATCGCCAGAGTGGCACGTCCATCGCACCGACACTCCGGTGCAATGTTGTTTATGTTGCTGATCATCTTATTTTCGTTTATTCAGGAGAACTGGGAGATGCTCGGGGTCAGCCGGGGCCCCCAGGCTTCAAGGGCGAGGCAGGGACCCCAGGGTTGCCTGGTGAGATGACCCATAGCTCCCCCCTTGATTCCCATTACCCCAGAGAGAAAGAGGGAGCTGATTCACAGACCGAGTCAGGGCATGGCGGAAAGACAATCCCTCAACGAAGAAGCCGTCTGTAACATTCAGTTTCTTAAAGTCAGAGGAGCCGGGTTTGCCTGGGTCAGTGATCTGGAAATGTATGCACACCCTGCACAGCACGTCCAGTGCACCCAGCGTACCTGTGCTGGGCCAAACGTGAACACACGGCAACACTGACCCCCCGCCCCACCCCATCACGTGTGTCACTGCAAGTCACGGGCTGTGTGGAACGAAGTAGCGGTTTGCATCTGGCCCGCGGACAGAGGGTCCTCCAATCGTGGACCAGAATCAGCCTGACTGATCCGTATTAGGATTTTCAAATGTCTTCCGATTCTCCTCTACCCCCCACCTCCTCTCCCTCGACATGATCTTGACATAGGGGCCCCGGGCGAGGCTGGGTTTCCCGGGCAGCCTGGGCCCCCCGGTTTCCCGGGTGGATCTGGACCGAGTGGTTTCCGTGGCGACACTGGATCCCCCGGTTTCCCAGGTAATGCCACGCACAGTGTCCCCATGCGACCGCATCTCACGACGCTGCACAAACACAGCGGCCTGGTCATGGAGAGAAACGCAGTGAGTCATAGGTGTCCAAGTGAGCTTCTGTGGGAGTCCATGGGAGAAGAAGGCAGTCAGTTCAGTTTATTTTTAATTACCCTGTGAGTCAATAAGCTCTTAAATCCCCAACATCCGCGCAAGTCACAGTAAAATAAATTTATAAACACTAACAGATAAGCAAAATAAAAAATAGATAGCAAATCATAATCGCAATATGTAAATGTACTTTTTTATATAAAAAAGAAGTAAAATATGAATGATCAAAATAGCATGTTTTGTCTCTAAAAAAAGACTCATTTAATATCTGACATTAATTGTAATGCAGATACGGCCTAAACGACTATGGAATTATAGTGAAGAATAAAAAACACAGCATCCATAAAAAAACGTAGTGTAAAATTTCGATTTAAAGCTTTCGTGACTGCAAGGATTCATCTTCTTTGGTTCTTTCGGTAAAGTCACGTAGAATGAGAATAAAATAATAAATTGATAAAATAAAATAACACAATAATATTCTCACGACGTTTCGGCCACAACACAAGCGGCCTTCATCAGGTGAAGGGACGAGACTGTCTGGTAGGACAGCGCTGGAGTGAAAAAAGCCACGTTCAGATCACGACCTTTAAGCTGTGTCAGAAGAAACAAAGCGCCTTGACAAAGGAATTAGCATATAATTTAGCATTGAAATGGCCGAGTGATTAGCTTGTGACTGGTCACAGAAATAGCTATGTTAAAATTAAAGCATACACATCCGCAAAGGCACCCCTTGACAAAGGAATTAGCATAGAATTTAGCATTGAAATAGCTAAGTTAAAGCATACACATCCGCAGAGGCACCCCTTGACAAAGGAATTAGCATAGAATTTAGCATTGAAATAGCTGAGTGATTAGCTTGTAACTGGTCACAGAAATAGCTATGTTTAAAGTCAGAGCATACACATTCACCGAGGCACCTAGTACAAATCAAACAGGAGAATTTAGCATTGAAATAACTAGGCGAATTTAGCATTGAAATAACTGAGTGATTAGCTAGTGACTGGTCACAGAAATGGCTATGTTGAAGTCAAGGTCTACACATCTGAGCTATTCACAGTAACTGGGTATACAATACAATGAATAATGAATACTATATAGTGAACCAATAAAAACTAAAATATAAATTACCTTAATGTTATCAATAAACTCTATATTCTCCAATCAGCTAAGCTACCAACAATAAGTCGTTATATATCACAATGCTATATGGCGAAAAAATGGGTGGTATGGTTTACAACATGGAGTATAATAGCGCCTCGCAGCTGTCTCTCTCTCCCTCCTCTGTTCTGAAATTGGATGAACTCGTCCGTCTGAACGGGGCCCGTAGCTAATCCGTGTTGCTAAAGTTGAGGGTAAGAATCCACCCATTTTTTCACCATATAGCATTGTGATATATAACGACTTATTGTTGGTAGCTTAGCTGATTGGAGAATATAGAGTTTATTGATAACATTAAGGTAATTTATATTTTAGTTTTTATTGGTTCACTATATAGTATTCATTATACATTGTATTGTATACCCAGTTACTGTGAATAGCTCAGATGTGTAGACCTTGACTTCAACATAGCCATTTCTGTGACCAGTCACTAGCTAATCACTCAGTTATTTCAATGCTAAATTCGCCTAGTTATTTCAATGCTAAATTCTCCTGTTTGATTTGTACTAGGTGCCTCGGCGAATGTGTATGCTCTGACTTTAAACATAGCTATTTCTGTGACCAGTTACAAGCTAATCACTCAGCTATTTCAATGCTAAATTATATGCTAATTCCTTTGTCAAGGGGTGCCTCTGCGGATGTGTATGCTTTAACTTTAACATAGCCATTTCTGTGACCAGTCACAAGCTAATCACTCGGCCATTTCAATGCTAAATTATATGCTAATTCCTTTGTCAAGGCGCTTTGTTTCTTCTGACACAGCTTAAAGGTCGTGATCTGAACGTGGCTTTTTTCACTCCAGCGCTGTCCTACCAGACAGTCTCGTCCCTTCACCTGATGAAGGCCGCTTGTGTTGTGGCCGAAACGTCGTGAGAATATTATTGTGTTATTTTATTTTATCAATTTATTATTTTATTCTCATTCTACGTGACTTTACCGAAAGAACCAAAGAAGATGAACGTAGTGTAAACAATGTGCTAAAGTAGTCGCTGACAGGCGATTAGTGTTTGTAACTCGTCTAACTTTTTATACATAGGCAGCTGGGCACAAATTCAAATGAAAGTAGTGCTTTAAAGTGAGTGATCGATGACAATGACTGTAGACAAAGTTTTGTGGCAATATTGTTCCACAGACTAGGAGCAGCCACTGTAAACGCTCGTTCACCAAAACTTGTTTTATGTCTGGGAACGTTCAATAGAAGGAGTGATGAACTCCTCAGGTTAGGTCTGCCCTCCTAACGTGTAAACAAATCCAATCAATATTCTGCTAAATTACCACGTAGAATATTGTACATAACGCTTAGTGAATCGTTTTGAGTTATAGGTATCTATGTGAGCCTATGGGCCTGTGTGTGAGCCTGTGGGTCTCTATGGGAGAAGGAGGTAGTGAGTTTTAGGCAGAGGAGAAGAGGCAGGTCTTGAGCATTAACTTAAAATAGGGACAGGGAGTTTACAGTATGGGTGGCTGGGGGAAGTCAATTCCTGACAATGTGGGCAGCAGGGGAGAATGAGCGACATTCTATTCGGTGATAGTCTTAGACTTACACATAGATGATTATGATGATTTTGATGTTCATGATGTTAAATTTTGATTTAAAGCTTTCGTGACTGCAGACACGGTAGGACCAACACCTCGGCCGTGGCAGATCACTGTTATAATTCAGTGGGGTCACATGACATTGACTTCTCCAAGACAGAGGTTCTTTGCAAGCCATCGGGCTACCATGAGAGATTCGTTCATGAGGCTATCCACATATACAAACACAGAGACAATTTCAACCGAGAAGATGGATTCTGGCCTAGCAATCATTGGAAGGATTTGATAAACCATTTCAGGTCTTAATTGATTGTTCACGCTTACGGTGGCTTTCAGACAGCATACATTAAATTTTCGTCTCCCCCCTCCTCTTTTCCGAACATAGATGGACTCGTCCTTCTAAACAAACTGTCAAATCGCTATCCATGGTGCCAACGCTTAAAAATAAATAAATGCAAACACCGTCTTAAAATAAATAAATAAATAGATACGAACCGCCACTTCTTTCAAATGTTTTTTGCCGTTGGTTTTCACACCTGATGATGACTGTTTGTGTTACAGTTGAAACGTCGTGAGAATTTTATTGCTTTATATATATTTTATTATTTTATTGTTTCCCTTCAACGTGACTTTACTGAAAGAACCAAGAATATGTTCATGATGTTGATGATGTTGTTGCTGTTGTCTTCAGGAGGTCCGGGTTCCGTGGGTGACGTTGGGGATCGGGGCCCCGACGGGTTTAACGGCCCCCCTGGGCCCCTGGGCCCCCCCGGTCCGGGTGGGCCCCCCGGTTCCCCAGGTGCGTGTATTTGCGCGTGCGTGGACGCGTGCGTGTGTTTGTGTGTGTGCTTATGTGTTTATGTTATGTATGCTCATTATCTGGTGGTTGCAGCTCACTCTGAGAAGGAGTTGTAGGTGCTGCTGCTGCTGCTGAACCTGGAGCATGCCACTAAGACGTGGGGCCTTGCCATCAGCCCCACCAAAACTAAGCACCTGCCTGGGTATTTTTTATCATCCAATACTCCACCCCCTCAACTCCCAATGAATGATTGGGCAGATATGGAGAGAGTGGAGAAGTTTCCATACTTGTGCAGAGTACTTATGACCAACGCTGGTGTAGTAGCATAGGTCTCGAGCAGCATTATCTTTTCATCAGCTGCGGAATGCTGTGTGGAAGCTACAGTGAGGGAAAAAAGTATTTGATCCCCTGCTGATTTTGTACGTTTGCCCACTGACAAAGAAGTGATCAGTCTATAATTTTAATGGTAGGTTTATTTGGACAGTGAGAGACAGAATAACAACAAAAACATCCGGAAAAAAACGCATGTCAAAAATGTTATTAATTGATTTGCATTTTAATGAGGGAAATAAGTATTTGACCCCCTCTCAATCAGAAAGATTTCTGGCTCCCTGGTGTCTTTAATACAGGCAACGAGCTGAGATAAGGAGCACACTCTTAAAGGGAGTGCTCCTAATCTCAGCTTGTTACCTGTATAAAAGACACCTGTCCACAGAAACAATCAATCAAATTCCAACCTCTCCACCATGGCCAAGACCAAAGAGCTCTCCAAGGATGTCAGGGACAAGATTGTAGACCTACACAAGGCTGGAATGGGCTACAAGACCATTGCCAAGCAGCTTGGTGAGAAGGTGACAACAGTTGGTGCCATTATTCGCAAATGGAAGAAACACAAAATAACTGTCAATCTCCCTCGGCCTGGCGCTCCATGCAAGATCTCACCTCGTGGAGTTGCAATGATCATGAGAACGGTGAGGAAGCAGCCCAGAACTACACGGGAGGATCTTGTCAATGATCTCAAGGCAGCTGGGACCATAGTCACCAAGAAAACAATTTGTAACACACTATGCCATGAAGGACTGAAATCCTGCAGCGCCCGCAAGGTCCCCCTGCTCAAGAAAGCACATATACATGGCGGTCTGAAGTTTTCCAATAAACATCTGAATGATTCAGAGGACAACTGGGTGAAAGTGCTGTTGTCAGATGAGACCAAAATGGAGCTCTTTGGCATCAACTCAACTCGCCGTGTTTGGAGGAGGAGGAATGCTGCCTATGACTCCAAGAACACCATCCCCACCGTCAAACATGGAGGTGGAAACATGCTTTGGGGGTGTTTTTCTGCTAAGGGGACAGAACAACTTCACCGCATCAAAGGGACGATGGACGGGGCCATTTACCGTCAAATCTTGGGTGAGAACCTCCTTCCCTCAGCCAGGGCATTGAAAATGGGTCGTGGATGGGTATTCCAGCATGACAATGACCAAAAACCCACGGCCAAGGCAACAAAGGAGTGGCTCAAGAAGATGCACATTAAGGTCCTGGAGTGGCCTAGCCAGTCTCCAGACCTTAATCTCACATACAATCTGTGGAGGGAGCTGAAGGTTCGAGTTGCCAAACGTCAGCCTCGAAACCTTAATGACTTGGAGAAGATCTGGAAAGAGAAGTGGGACAAAATCCCTCCTGAGATGTGTGCAAACCTGGTGGCCAACTACAAGAAACGTCTGACCTCTGTGATTGCCAACAAGGGTTTTGCCACCAAGTACTAAGTCATGTTTTGCGGAGGAGTCAAATACTTATTTCCCTCATTAAAATGCAAATCAATTAATAGCATTTTGACATGCGTTTTTCTGGATGTTTTTGTTGTTATTCTGTCTATCACTGTCCAAATAAACCTACCATTAAAATTATAGACTGATCATTTCTTTGTCAGTGGGCAAACGTACAAAATCAGCAGGGGATCAAATACTTTTTTCCCTCACTGTACCTGGTGTGTTGCCATGAAGGACTCTACTGGGCAATCGGAGGCACCTTCCAACAACAGCAGAGGGCAGAGGAGTGATGCTCACAACGAGCGGAATGCCGGGCGACTAAAATACATCACGTTTACACAGTAGGAGACACAGATGGTGCATCGGCCAGTCATCTCAGTCAGTGTGCGAGCAGGGTTCACGAGCGCATGTGTGTTTGTGAGCAGGGTCCACATGCGTGTTTGTGAGCAGGGTTCACGTGTGTGTGTGTGAGCAGGGTTTGTTGGGAGCCCCGGGCTCACCGGACTGGATGGGCTACCAGGAGGCAAAGGCCCCCCTGGCCCACCCGGTAAAACACGGACCCCCCCCCCCCCCTTACTTCTCCTTCACGGACCCCCCACTGCCTGCCTCTCATCCAGTTTCTGTTCGGTTGTCTCTACTCTGGAAACAGCTGCACGGGGCGGAGGGAGGGCCGTCACCTCGCAGTGGTTTGCCGAGCCTCAAGGAGTGGAGGAAGTAGCCACCCTCCGCTGTGTTTGTGTGTGCTGTAGGTGTGGGGGTGCCGGGTCCCTTGGGCCCCCCAGGACGGGATGGCTCACCTGGGACCCCCGGAACGTCTTTTCCAGGGTCGCCGGGGGAACCTGGGGGGCCTGGGTTGCCAGGAGATAGTGGTGAGTGTGAGTGTAAGAGTGAGTGAGAGGGAGTGAGTGTGTGAGAGGGAGTGTGAGACTATACGTGTGTGTGTTCATGTGTGTGAGCGCTGACAGTGATTAGTGCACTACGCTACGAATGTGGCGACCCGAGTTAGGAGGATTATCTGAACTAATTCTGGGCATCTCCGAAGGTAGACTCAGCCTTAAATGAGTACCTGGTGAAGCATTAGTACTGTTGAGAAAAAGACAGCTAACCACCATCGTGTGCCATGCCAGCCTTCATAGGTACTCGCTAACAGCCCTTGCCCCATCAGTCTGTTCAAGGCTATAGGGGGGATCTTTTTCTTTGTGTGTATGCCATGCTGCTGCACTCAGGGTGAATCACGTGTTGTCCTCTGTGCCATGTGTGGGGTGTGAACTCAGGATTCCCTGGGTTTCCTGGAGTGCCAGGACCCCCTGGGGAGAGGGGCCCTGTGGTGGGACCCCTTCCCGGGGAGCGCGGGACCCCGGGGTCCCCGGGGAGGGACGGGGAACCAGGTACGCAGAGACATGTGGGACCCGTGAGAGAGAGTGATGTCACCACGTCATCGTCGTCATCTTGTCATCATCTTGTCATCATCTTGTCATCATCTTGTCATCGTCATCAGAGCGACCACCTTTATCAACATCATCATCACCTGCTTCGTCATCATGTTTATCATCATCATCACTGCCATCATGATCATCAACACTGTCATCAATGCAACTACCCGTATCATCACCACCCCCCCTTCTCCCCCCCCCCCCCTCTTCGTTCCTCCAGGGCGGCCTGGGTCCGCTGGCCGCCCGGGTGCTTTGGGACCCTCAGGGCCCAGGGGGAAGCCCGGCTTCTCTGGGGGCCCCGGAGGAGGCGGGGGCCCGGGGCTTGATGGAGATGCCGGGACTCCTGGGACACCCGGCAGCCCCGGCTCCTCCGGATACAAAGGTGGGGTAGTGTTGATGGCGGTGATGGTGATTACGATAGCAGTGATTTCATTGATGATGCTGCCGTAGCTGATGATGGTACTTGTGATGATTATGATGATGGCGCTCATGATGATTATGATACTGATGGTTACCATGATGCTATTGCTGACAATGATGATGCAGCCACTGCTGACGATTCTGATGATGAAGGTTCTGATGATGATGCTGCTGCTATTGCTGATGATGCTGATGGTGATGGTTCCTGTGATGATACTGCTGCTATACTCTTTGGTTCTATTCGGTAAAGTCACGTAGGTAAAAAATAAAACAACAAAAATCACGACGTTTCGGCCACAACACAAGTGGCCTTCATCAGGTGAAGGGACAAACTGTCCAGCGGACAGCGCTGGAGTGAAGAAAGCCAAGTGCAGGTCGCCTCCTTTTAAGCTGAGGGGGTAATCAGAAAACGCCTTGACAAAGGAAATTAGCATAAAACACCACTTACAACGCTTGTAATTAGCACAAGATGATAATACACCACCCTGGAAGTTTGGAATGCCACCACCTGAATAAATATACTGCACCACTGAAAATTAGTTTAATGTTTGGTTCGATTTAGAACATCTTTCCAATGGTTGCTTAATTTTAAACCATCTTCTCGGTTGAAATTGTGTCTGTGTTTGTAAATCTGAATTGCCTCGTGCATAAATCTCTTATGATAACCTGTCGGTTTGCAAAGGACCTTTCCTTTGTCAAGGCAATTTCTGTTTACCCCCTCAGCTTAAAAGGAGGCGACCTGCACTTGGCTTTCTTCACTCCAACGCTGTCCGCTGGACAGTTTGTCCCTTCACCTGATGAAGGCCACTTGTGTTGTGGCCGAAACGTCGTGATTTTTGTTGTTTTATTTTTTACCTACGTGACTTTACCGAATAGAACCAAAGAGTATAGATCCTTACAGTCACGAAAGCTTCAAATCTAGAAGGGATACTGCTGCTGTTGCTAATGATGCTGATGATGATGGTTATGATGATTATGCTGATAATGCTGCTGATGATGGTAGTTCCGATGATGATGATGCTGCCACTGCTGATGATGATGGTTACGACGATGCTGCTACTGCTGCCGATGATGGTGCTGATGGTTACCATCATGCTGCCACTTCTACTGATGATGGTGATGCTGATGATTACGATGCTGCTGATGACTGGTGATGACCAGGCAGCCGTGGAGATCCTGGCGGACTGGGATTCCCCGGGCAGGAAGGCTTCCCCGGCGACCCTGGGTTTCCTGGAGAGCAGGGAGACTCGGGATGGCCAGGTGCTGCCTCCCCTCCACCCTCTCCGCACCACCCGCCTTCCCCCGCTCCCGCTACCCCCACCCCCGAGCAACGGGAAGAGATTCGTGGTCGACTACCATTTCTGCGACTGACTTCATCCACGTATCGAATCCCCTTCCCCCGCTAATGACCCCGCTCCCCTGGGTGCGGCGCGCAGGCTCACAGGGCCCATCTGGGGCCCCCGGCCTGCCTGGCCCACAGGTGGACTTCACCGGCCTGAGGGGAGCGCCGGGGCCCATCGGCCCACCTGGGGAGCTGGGCCTGGCCGGGCTGCCCGGTCCCCCGGGCCCCCAGGGATTCCCAGGTACATGTGCGGAGGGGAGGAAGGGGGTGAGTGGGGGGGGGGAGTGGGGGGCAGCCCCCCCGGTTCACGTTTAAATGAAACTTTTGAAAAGTACGAAACTAAAATAGTTTTTATTTTACCAGGTAAGGCTCACTGAGCTATGTAGCCCTTTTATATAAGCGACCTCGTTTATCACGAATGATAGCTCACCAAAGTGGCTTATCACGTAAAGATGTATAGCAGCCAAATACTTCAAACGCATGTTGATTCTAAGGGAAAAACCAGAGGACCCGGAGAAAAATCAATGCGACCACGGGGAGAGAGAGAGACGCAGACTCCAAATATACAGGTCTCGGGGACGGGATCGAACCCACGACCTCCTGTACACCCGGTGAGGTAGTTAACATCTCCTCGCCACTGCGGTGCCCCGTAGTCAGCAGCGTTGTCTCCACCGCACGGCCCCTCGCGCCATCACCGGTGCCCAGCGCCTGCCTGCTCTGACGAGCATCGAGGCAACGGCACTCGCCTCCTGTTCACAGCCCAGCTGAGCAATAGTGGAGGAAATTCCAAGTTCTTATGATGGGGAGCAAGTATATCTGTAGGAGAAGCGCTTTTGACTCTCTCTAAGTAGTACGAATTTTAATGGCCCTGAATGGTTGATGGGCTGAGTCAATGAGCGCCACTTTGTGCGGCGGTTAAGAGATATTGTCCTATAGATAGACTCGACCCTACCATAGGAATGTGGAATTTACACCACTGGCTCAGTAGGGCTGTTAACAGGAGATGAGCAACAATTGCTCACTGCTTATTTGAGCACAGGCGGACGATACACCTGGATGATACACGCGGACGATACTCACGGACGATACACGTGGACAATACACTCGGACGATACACTCGGACAATACACATGGACAATAAACGTGGATGATACACTCAGACGATACATTCGGATGATACACACGGACGATACACTGAGACAATACACTTAGATGATACGCTCAGATGATACACACGGACGATACTCATGGACAAATCACTTAGATGATACAATTGGACGATACTCACAGACGATACACTCGAATGATACACCCGGACGATACACGTGGACTATACTCACGGACGATACACGCGGACGATACACACGGACGTTACTGACAAACAAGAAAACACAGTTCACATGTGTTTGAGACTCCTCTCTCTTTTGTCAACTTAATTTGATGGCAATGACCACGAAGATGATTATGTTGATGATGATGACGAGTATGATGGTGATGATGACGAGTATGATGATGATGATGACGAGTATGATGATGATGTTGATGAGTATGAGGATGATGACAACCACAATGATGGTGATGTTCCTAGGAGGCAGTGGGTCTCCGGGGCAGCCAGGGAAACAGGGAACCAACGGATTCCCTGGCAGGAAGGGGGCAGCAGGGGAGCCGGGTCGAGCAGGGCCCCTGGGGCCCACGGGACTCCCAGGTGGGTGCACGGCTGCACCGTGCATACACGCATCATCGCGTACGCGCATCATCACGTGCAGCCCGTACGTTACCGTGTACGAGCGTCATTGCGTACGTTGTCGCACACTCATTTCACCGCGTACAAGCGTCATCGCGTATATCATCACGTAGGCGCATCATCGCGTATGTTGTCGCGTTGTTGTGTATGTGCCTTTTTCCAAAAATGTATATTAAGAATGATTCTATATTCTTGGTTCTTTCGTTAAAGTCACGTAGATAAAAAATAAAAATGACAAAAATAAGAATGATCAAATTTTAATTATACATTTAAATAATAAATGTAAAATAATAAAAGCAAAAAATATACCACACTGACCTCTGCTGCTGTCACATCCTCCAATGCTAGCTTGGCCCTGATCTCTGAGAGAATTAGACTGCTCCCCACTGAACTGGATCATGGAGACAAGACACTTGAAATCACACTTAACATTGAAAAAATGTCTACATCTGATTGGAAACATGTAGATAACATGACCGCTTCATCAGCCGCTACAATGTCAGATAAATTTAGAGAATCTGATTTCAAAATTCAACCTCCTTTCCAATAAGAAACCAGATCCAGACATTAAAAAGTTAGACCTTGACAAAGTTCTTATCAATCCGAGTAATAGCCAAATTTCTGATGGTCTAAAGTCGGTTTTGGCTAAAGGATTGAACTTCGCAATCACCCCCAAACACGTACCAGTGGATGATATTATTGCTCAGGTCGATGTAGCTCTTAAGGGTTTGGGACACATCGCTGCATTATGAGAACTGTATCCTGCGGTGAGATCTGAATTCTGAGACCTGACATAAAACACTAAAACATAATCAGTAAAAGTTAAAGCGAGAATCATTGTATTATCACGATTGGTGACACACCCCTAGACAACGAAGCCGAGTCCAATTATCATAATTGCATAAATTAGCATAATTTCGAAAATTACAATTTTTTTCTTTTCATTAAATTTTGATTAAGAAAACATTTTTCAAGACCTAATATATACAACAGCGTACGCGTGCCATCATGTACGTCGTCACGTACATCATCGCGTACACGCGTCATCTCGTACGCGTGTCATCGCGTATGCGCGTCGTCACATACGCGCATCATCACGTACCCTCGTCATAGCGTACATCATCGCGTACGTCGTCGCATACGCCGTCATCGCGTACGTCGTCGTCGTCGCCGCCACCGGCCACAGTCTACCTCCTGCTGGGCGAAGGCCTCCCGGTGTCGTCACGAGCTCTCATGGTCTCATGACGCCCGCATCCATGTCCACACGAGCCGATCTCGTGGCTCCGTGGTGCCGCTCCATCACCCGCCCTGACCGTCGCCCACCGCCCTCCTTACCCATGATGTGTCCTACCCAAGCCCCACTCTTGGTGGCGAGATGTTAACTACCTTGGCTGGTAAACAGAAGGTCGTGGGTTCGATTCCGACTCTGACAATGCCTGTTTTATATTTGGAGTTTGCATGTTCTCCCCATGGTCACGTGGATTTTTGTCCGGGTCCTCCAGTTTTCCCCTCCACATTTAGAAACATGCGTTGATAGTATTTGGTTGCTATACATTTCCACATGATGAGCCACTTTATGCAGCTATCATTTGTGGCCAGATCGGTTTTGAAAAAGAGCTACACAGTTCAGTGGGCCTTACCTGGTAAAATTGAAATAGTAAATAGTTTACATTGCCTTTCACAGTCAAGCTGTTTCTAACCTGTGTGCGTCCTCGAATCCGCGATAACACTTCTTTGCTGTATATTTTTAATCTCCGAATGCTTTAAAGTATGCTTAGCTTTACTTTCCATCTCATGAGCATTCTTCACTCTCGTACATATACTCGTTAAAGGAATATTCAAATGTGACCCAACATGAATCGCACGCTCACCTTTTCTGCTACACGTTATCACTTCCATTTGAGCATCAAGCCTAATATCACTGCGCTTTTTCGTATGCTCACCACCTGCACTGTCACTACGCTTGCTACTCATTGTTGAAGGTTTGCAACGATATTTTGCAATAAAAAATTCCACGCCGATCTACAACGAGCACTCGTAGCTACGCACATGAGAGAACACAATGGGTCTGAGAAGATTGCGGCGCATGTGCGAGTTGTACAGTACCTCTACACCCCCCCCCGCTCCCCCGAAAGCCGAGTACAAAACAACGTATATCGATACATTGTATCGGGGACCCCCTGTACATAGACAAGTCCCTTCACGTGTCACCATTGTGCCGTCATTGTGCCGTCATTCTGCCACCGCTGTTGTGCCGTCATTGTTGCACCACAGGCGAGCGCGGCTCCCCAGGGGCGGCGGGCGCGCCGGGCCTGGTGAGTGATGCCGAGCTGCTGCGCGAGGACGGGGGATTCCTGCTCGTCAAGCACAGCCAATCGGTAGAGGTGCCTGCATGCCCCCAGGGCATGGCACGCATGTGGGATGGCTTCAGCCTCCTCTACATCGAGGGCAATGAGAAGGCCGCCTCGCAGGACCTGGGTGAGGGCGCCTCGTCGCTAATATCGTCGCCATCTTCACCGCCGTCATCGCCGTCATTGCTCTCACTGCGATCATCGTCACCACCACCACTATCGTCGGTATCGTCATCAGCCCCGACACATCATCGCTGTCACGAACACCATCTCACCCCCCCCGCCTGCCTATTCTCACTTTGCCACTGCCCCCCCCACCACCGTAACTGCCCCCCCCCCACAGGCCTGGCGGGATCGTGCCTGCCGCGCTTCAGCACGATGCCCTTCATCTACTGCGGCGTGGACGCCGTATGCAGCTACGCATCGCGCAACGACAAGTCCTTCTGGCTCTCCAGCACCGCCGCCATCCCCATGATGCCCGTGTCCGGAGAAGACATCCGCCCCTACATTAGTCGGTACGCACGGCCGTGACGTGCGTGTCCCACAGCTCGAGGCACTCTAGGTTCAAGTCCCAACTCGAGCGACTTTCAGCGTGGAGTTTGTTCTTCCCTTGGTCTGCTTCGTGAGTGAGTGCGTGAGTGCGTGTGCTGGGGATCGGTACTCTAGCTGTTAGTGTGCTGCGCTACAAACCCGGCAACTCGAGTTTGATTCCCGCTCACAGCCAACACCGGTGGCGATTATCTGAACCGATCCTGGGCCTCCTGTAGGCCGACTCTGCCTAAAATGTAGCTGGTGCGATGTGCAAACATTGCCACTATGGAGACAAAGGCGGTACTCACAAACAGCACTTGCCCCAACAGTCTGTTAAGGCTATATGGGGGAGCTTTGTCTTGTGTAACTAACAACCAGGTTCGTGAAGGACGCTGCTGTATGTGTGTTGAAGTTTGACACCGTATGTAGCCAACCGCGCTAAATCGGCGGTGCGGAGGAAGGACAAAATGCAGTTCTGGGAAGTTGGAGGCAACAACGGAGGGCAGAGGAGCGACACTTACAACACTGGGCGGAGCGCTGGGCGGCTAAAGTGCAAACAGTTGGCACAGTGGGGAACACAATTGGTGCATCTACCAGTCAACTCAGTCAGTCCATCCCATGGCACCTGGGTCTGTTACGGGACCTCCTGCCAGCAGCGAGCCTTCAACACTTCACGTGACTTCAAAGTGCACCTGGCCTGGCACAAGCACTATGGTGACGTCACCAACGCTTAGTGATGTGTTACGTGTGTGTGACGAGTTCACGATAAGCAGAGAAGGCACCTAAGGAGTTGCCGCACCTGGGCCGTGAGCTCATGGCCGGCTCCGGTTCGGCAGAGGTGGTGTCTCTCTCAATATTTCGGGCGGCATTATCTTTTCACCGGCTGTGGAATGCTGTGTTGAAGCTACCTGGTCTAATGCTCCACGCAAAAAAAAACTCTAGGTCTTCTCTCCCACAGTTTTAAACATTTAGGTTGTCCTGCCTACGATCCAGGTTTAACGAGCCTGGATTCCGTGCGGAGCTCACAGATCTTTGAAAGATCTGGACACATTCCCATCAGTGAGCTCCTCCGGCAAACGAGGCTGTGTTTTCTGGTTCACATAGCCCGCATGCCCAGACACCGCGTGCCCAAGTAGCTTCTGTTTGGCCGGAAAAGAGGGGGCTAAACGGGCACGGCACAGGCAGGAGAAGAGATGGACTGATGCAGTGCGAGGGTTAGAGATGGAGTCAGGGGTCACCACGGGTCGCACTTTGCCCCCAGGTGCTCGGTGTGCGAGGCGCCGACACAAGCGATCGCTGTGCACAGCCAGGACAGCGAAATTCCACGGTGCCCGCCAGGGTGGCGTAGCCTCTGGATCGGCTACTCCTTTCTCATGGTATGGCTCCCCACCGCCTCTCCCACGCTGGCCCACTGCGCCTCCCCCCAAAATAACCCCAAACACGCGCATTTGTAACAATTCTGCAATGCTCACCCACGCATGTGTAACAATTTTGCAACGCTCGCCCATGCATGTGTAACGATTCTGTAACGCTCGCCCACACGCGCCCGCATTACTCCTCCGCTGCGTCAATCGGCGACACCGCTCTCCTTTTAGTGCCGGTTTTTCTCAGCTAGGTTTCTGGCGAGAACGCTTTGATCAACGCTTCCGGTTTTTTCCTCTCAGCGAGCCCCTCTTGGCTACACGGAGTTTTTGTCCGCACGAAGTCGCCATAACGAGGGTGAGAGTATCCCCCCCACCCCCACTTCGTTACGGACGGAGCGACGCGCAGAGCTGACACTCTATCCTTGGGGCACCCCTGGACCCTGCCGCTGTCGCCGATGTAAACAAAACGGTGGTGCAGCCGCCGCCCCTTCTTGACGCGGGGAGGAGAATATCATCGCAGCACGCCCCTCACGATGCATCTCATATAATTTACATTACGATTAAAAACTATGAACTATTTTTATTTTACCAGGTAAGGCCCACTGAGCTGTATAACTCTTTTTCAGAAGTGGCCTGGCCACAAATAATTGATCAATGAAATGGCTTATCAAGTGGAAATGTATAGCAGCCAAATATTTAAAACGCACGTTGATTCTAAATGTGGAGGGAAAAACCGGAGGACCTGGAGAAAAAGCCATGCGACCACGTGGACAACATGCAACCTCCTGTATACCGGGCGAGGTAGTTAACATCTCGGCACCACTGCACCCCAATTAGAAAGGGCACCCCCAGTGGCAGCTGTTCGTGTGCAGCACGAGGTGACTCGGCGCCTGTCCTGCAAGTGAGCGAGCATCAATCTGCCAGTAGGGGGCGATGATCGTTGCTGTGTGTGCGTGTGATCCAACTTGAGGAGCGGTGGCGTAGTGGTTAGCGCGCTGCGCTACGAAACTGCCGACCCGAGTTCGATTCCCTCTCACGGCCATAACCAGTGACAATTATCTGAACTGGTCCTGGGCCTCCCCTAGGTCGATCCAGCGTAAAATGAGTACCTGGTGCAGTCTGTAAATATTGCTATTAGGGAGACCAAGGCGGCCGGGCATGGTGCTGTCCACTCACTCCCTCGTGTGCGGTGCCAGCAGTTGCCCTAACGGTAGGCTATACGGGGGATCTTTGCCTTGTATTTGTCTTTTATCCCAATTGAGTCATTTGCGGTGTAATTTTCGAATTTGGCAAATTTGGACCCCGTGACTCCGGCACAGGCTGGCCGACTCCTGCGAATGATGTCGCGGGATCTTTAACGTCCACAGCGAGTGAATGAGGAGACACCGCGTGTTGCTCTTTTGTGGTTCGTGCAATCAACTGGGGACGGTTCAGCGGCAGGGGCCGGCGTGGCAGTGACACTCGAACCCAGACGCCTCCCAGCAGCAAGCGTTTGAGGTCCGATTCCTGACACGGGCGCCTTTCTGAGTAGATCATGTGCTTTGAAGAAGGGCCATAGCCTAAAACGTCAGTTATTACTTTTAGGACCTCAGTTTTATTGATGAATGCATTGAGTTTCTGTGTGGAGTTTGTATTCTCTCCCCCTGTTCTGCATGGGTTTCCTCCTTTAGCTAAACCTACACACACAGTGGAACTGGTATTTGGACAGTGAGACTGTCCTGGGTGAACAAGTGAAATCATCATAATAGTCACAGTTGAAAAGCAATAAAAAATGCACGTCGGGCTGATTGAGAAAGTGGTTCCCTCTCCACCTCTCCCCGTTTCCTCATCTCCCCCTCTCTCCCCATGATCCCCCCAGCACATGGCGTCGGCGGAAGGTGGCGGGCAGCCACTGGAGTCTCCGGGCTCATGCCTTGAGGACTTCCGCACATCGGCCTTTCTTGAGTGCCAGGGCCCGCGGGGCACCTGCCACTACTTTGCGGACGAGCACAGCTTCTGGCTGGCACGTGTAGCGCCCGCCTCCCAGTTCGCGCCACCACGGCCCGGCACCTTCAAGGACGCGTTCGAGCAGCGGTCACGCATCAGCCGCTGCCAGGTCTGCTTGAAGAACGTGTGAGCGGCGGCGGCGGTGGCGGTGAGGCGGCCGTCCGGTGGGAGGAAGGGGGAGCACCACCACGATGGGCCCCGCCGGACCAGCCAGAGCCTTTGGGGGGGGGGTGCAGGGGGGGGGCACCTCACGTCTGTGCTTGTCCATTACTTATCAAGCCGACGGAGGTGTGCTTTCAGAAAGTTTATCTCAGTGCCCCCCACCCTGGTCAAGATTTTATCCGCGGGCAGTGTTATGACGGAATTATGTTACCGGCGACGTCTAATTTGTGTTCGTGACTCCGGCGCGCGGTTCTCACACTCCAGCGCGGGGGGGCAGGGGGAACCACAGAGATGCAGGAAGGAACGCGGCACCGGCGCCGCCTATGTTTGCCCGAGCTCTGTGGTCCCGTATTGGGAATTTTTGCCAACTCCAATCGTGGGCGTAGTCTCGTGCTGGGAGGGGCTGCCAGCTCACCACATTGCCCCGTTGGAGTCTCCTGGAAATTTGGTCGCCTCGGCGGAATTCCGCTTGGTGCTGCGGCTGCGATTGTGGCAGCGAATTGACACGAAGTTCGGCGTTCCCTCAAGTGGCCAATCGGCTAGTGCCATTTGCCAGCTGCTGTTGGCTGCTGTATGTACTTCGGTGCTGTAGATTAAATGGGAATTGCTACGACTGGTGCTATTTTATATTCTCCCTCCCCCCACCACGCCCCGTCTGCTCTGAGTGGAATGCTCCATCACACACGGGTGGAGGAGCGTTAAATTGTTGGCAGGGGGTGAGTGGGACACAGCTACATAGGGACGTGAAGCGAACTCAGCGGCAATGGACCCCAGCGTCGCCCACACCGTGACCTCTTCTCCCTGTATTGCATGTCCTTCACGACATAGTTATACTCAATGCCTTCATTTACTCATCATCATCAACCATGATCAATCCACATCCGACATGAAGACCTCTCTAAGCCACCGCCACCTCTCATGATCCGGCCATCTAGTAATCCACCTGGCAGATCTACCCCCGTTGGTGGATGTTCTCGGATTGCTCTTGACGTTGGACGACTATCGTCATGCCGTGCTCTCGGTGGAGCTAAAACAGGAATTCAAACCATTGGTGCGTGCACGTGTGGGCTAGGAGCACCAAGTCTAAAGATCGGATGTAAAAGGAAGGCATGTTCAGGGTTATGTGCGTGTTGAGTAGCGTGTGTGTCTCTGTCTTTGTGTCTGTTTATAGTGGGGAGCGGTGGCACAGTGGCTAGCGCGCTGAGTTACAAACCCGGCGACCAGCGTTTGATTCCCGCTCATGGTCAACACCAGCGACGATTTTCTGAACCAGTCTCGGGCCTCTCCTGGGTCTACTCAGCCTTAAATGAGTACCCGGTGTGATGTATCATCATCACTAGGGAGACAAAGGCGGCCGGGCGTGGTTCTAGCCACCCACCCCCTCGTGTACTGTGCCGACCTTCATAGGTGCTACTCGCTAACAGCATTTGCCCCAACAGTCTGTTAATGAAATACGGGGGATCTTTGTCTTTGTTTGATTAAAGGTAACCCTACACCTGCCCTGCTCGCCCTGTGAGTTTCTTGAGCGCTTGGGCCTTGGTGTAGTCGAGAGGCAGCAGCACAGCAAGCTGGTTATTGTGCACACAGAGAGAAACACAGACGATCCCGAATGAGGAGTGACGTGGAACGCAAAGCCTTTCCAAGTCGCGAGACTTTCTCAACTAAGGGTCCTGCCAATGGTGTGCTTTCTTCTTCTGTATGGCTGATGTAGATGCAGAGCAACAGCTACAATTTCACATTCAGGTGGTCAAGCCAGATAACCGCCGAAGGAGCAAGCACAGTTGTGTAGCATCGCTGTGATGTCTCCTTTGTATTTGTGGATCGGGCATTGGGTCGTTATAAGTTGTATGGACTGTTCTAGATGACCAAAGTCGCCCAATACTCGAGAGTTTTTAATTCTCCATTTGTGCATCAGGTTTTCGCATCTGCAGCCATGGTTTGTGCGGATGCGATTCAGGATGAACCATGAGCTTCGTGAAAGATTAAATCCAGGGATCTTCTGCGTTGGGACTTTCACAGCAAGGAGTTCTTTAAACTCCATTCAGCTCCTCAAGCTTCGTCGGGGTTGACTTCGCATTAAGGTGAAGTGAATGGGTCCAAAAGGTCTTTGCGTGACTTCAAGCGATGACGAGGGATGTGTTATTGAGGTCCCAAAGAATGAAAAGACGACTGGTTTCCTCGACTCGCAGGACTTCTCGGAGGGTTGTAGCATTGGCGGCGGATGGGTGGGGGCGACCAGCGTGTTGGGGTCGACTTGAGGGTTCTGTTGATGCATCGCGTTGTGTGCGTGATCCCATTTGCGTCGTTTGCGGGTAATTTATCAGCAGTAGGATGCCTTGACCAATACCAGTTCCACTGTGTGTGTGGGTTTAGCGCTGGAAGAAAACGGAGAACGCAGAGGAAGCTCACGCAGAACAGGGGCAGAGAATACAAACTCCACACTCCCCACACACTCTTTGCAGAAGGGGGGTAAAACACAAACTTCACGCAGAAAGGATCCCGAGTCGGGAATCAAACCCATGAACTTTTCGCTGCGAGGCAACGAGCATCATCAACACTTCCCCATGCTGCCCCAGTGTTGAGAATCAGACTTTATTTATACCGAAGGAATCCGATGAGCTATAAAGCTCTTTTTCACATATGTCCAGTGTTTGGAAGAGCGAGCTAGTGAGAGGCGCTGGTGGGGGGGGGGGTTGTGAGGTGACCGAGGGAGGTGACAGGGGTGGGGGTCACGGGGGTCAGGGAGGGCGGCGATGCGCCACTCCTCCCCTGCCGCGTCGCTGCCGATCCGGAATATCCCGCCGAGCAGCAGCAGCTGCTGGAGCCGGTTGTGCCGGTCGTGGTGCGAAACTGACCGCAGACAACGGACACGTTCGCTCCCGCTGCGCCTGTGGGGGAAGGGGGGAGCGGTGGTGCAGTGGTGAGCGCTGCGTTCCATTCCCGCTCTCGACCAACCTTTCTTTCGTATGGCTGAGGTAGATGCAGATCAACAACTAAACTTTCACATTCTGGTGGTCAAGCCCAGATAGAGTTTATCGCTCTGACGTCTCCTTCATATTAGTGGAGCTCGACCAATAACAGTGGCGAATATTTGGACCAGTCCTGGGCCCCCCTTAAACGAGTACCTGATGTGATGTGTAAACATAAACACTGGGCGTGGTGATCGTTATCCACCCCCTCGTGTGCTCTGCCAGCCTTCAGAAGTGCTTGCTAACAGCACTTGCCCCAACAGTCTGTACAGGCTATACGGGGGATCTGTGTCTATATACCAGGGGGTGGAGTGATCGTGCAGCAGTGAGTACACTTTTCCATAAACCGATCGATTTGAGTTGGATTCCCGGCCACGGCTCTCACATAAGTGGTGAATGGGCGGCTTCGTGTCAGTCGGGTCCGTTCGGGTCGATAGACCACCAAATCATTCCGCACCCGGCACACCACATCCAGTATAGAGCAGCATCTCTATGGCTGTGGCTGCTCGTCACCGGTCAACTCCAGTTTACCAACGGTGGCCATCTAAGCTCGGCGGCGAGTGGGCTTCAAAACCCCTCCCCCTACACTCCTTAACCAACCCGCACGGACCAGCGTGGTGAAGTATGGTCAAACAGCCCCCCTACGAGGACACGGCGTGGGAAGGCCTTCATCCAGCAGTGAATTGACAAGGGGGGCTGTACGGATCGTTGTGAGTGCTGTTGCGTGTGCTGTGATCAGGAGTTGTGAGTGCATTTTCAGAGTCAGGGCTGCACCACGGCTCATCGTCAGGCTGTACTTTACTGAGTGGAGCAACGGGGTAACGCACAGCAGGATAACGCGCAGGGGACAATCAACTGTAGGATAAATCTTTGTGAGTTCGTGGACTGAGCACACAACACACACACCACGCACACACACATAGAATATATATACAGACAAATACATTCACCCGACACACACCATACCAATCACAAACATATACAGTGAGGGAAAAAAGTATTTGATCCCTTGCTGATGTTGTACGTTTGCCCACTGGCAAAGAAATTATCAGTCTATAATTTTAATGGTAGGTTTATTTCAACAGTGAGAGACAGAATAACAACAAGAAAATCCAGAAAAACACATGTCAAATGTTATAAATTGATTTGCATTTTAATGAGGGAAATAAGTATTTGACCCCTCTGCAAAACATGACTTAGTACTTGGTGGCAAAACCCTTGTTGGCAATCACAGAGGTCAGACGTTTCTTGTAGTTGGCCACCAGGTTTGCACACATCTCAGGAGGGATTTTGTCCCACTCCTCTTTGCAGATCTTCTCCAAGTCAGTAAGGTTTCGAGGCTGACGTTTGGCAACTCGAACCTTCAGCTCCCTCCACAGATGTTCTATGGGATTAAGGTCTGGAGACTGGCTAGACCACTCCAGGACCTTAATGTGCTTCTTCTTGAGCCACTCCTTTGTTGCCTTGGCCGTGTGTTTTGGGTCATTGTCATGCTGGAATACCCATCCACGACCCATTTTCAATGCCCTGGCTGAGGGAAGGAGGTTCTCACCCAAGATTTGACGGTACATGACCCCGTCCATCGTCCCTTTGATGCGGTGAAGTTGTCCTGTCCCCTTAGCAGAAAAACACCCCCAAAGCATAATGTTTCCACCTCCATGTTTGACGGTGGGGATGGTGTTCTTGGGGTCATAGGCAGCATTCCTCCTCCAAACACGGCGAGTTGAGTTGATGCCAAAGAGCTCCATTTTGGTCTTATCTGACCACAACACTTTCACTCAGTTGTCCTCTGAATCATTCAGATGTTCATTGGCAAACTGCAGACGGGCATGTATATGTGCTTTCTTGAGCAGGGGGACCTTGGGGGCGCTGCAGGATTTCAGTCCTTCACGGCGTAGTGTGTTACCAATTGTTTTCTTGGTGACTATGGTCCCAGCTGCCTTGAGATCATTGACAAGATCCTCCCGTGTAGTTCTGGGCTGCTTCCTCACCGTTCTCATGATCATTGCAACTCCACGAGGTGAGATCTTGCATGGAGCCCTAGGCCGAGGGAGATTGACAGTTCTTTTGTGTTTCTTCCATTTGCGAATAATGGCACCAACTGTTGTCACCTTCTTACCAAGCTGCTTGGCAATGGTCTTGTAGCCCATTCCAGCCTTGTGTAGGTCTACAATCTTGTTCCTGACATCCTTGGAGAGCTCTTTGGTCTTGGTCATGGTGGAGAGTTTGGAATGTGATTGATTGATTGCTTCTGTGGACAGGTGCCTTTATACAGGTAACAAGCTGAGATTAGGAGCACTCGCTTTAAGAGTGTGCTCCTAATCTCAGCTCGTTACCTGTATAAAATACACCTGGGAGCCAGAAATCTTTCTGATTGAGAAGGGGTCAAATACTTATTTCCGTCATTAAAATGCAAATCAATTTATAACATTTTTGACATGCGTTTTTCTGGATTTTTTTGTTGCTATTCTGTCTCTCACTGTTCAAATAGACCTACCATTACAATTATAGACTGATCATTTCTTTGTCAGTGGGCAAACGTACAAAATCAGCAGGGGATCAAATACTTTTTTTTCCCTCACTGTATCCAATATACATACAGCCAACTCCCACCCAGCACATGCGTGAAAATGACCAAGACACGCATAGCTTACAGACACCAATCACAAATGCACACAACATACACCCAGCAAAAACGAAGATCTCCTGATAGCCTTAACAGACTTTTGGGGCAAGTCCTGTTAGCGAGCACCTATGCAGGCCGACACGGCACACGAGGGGGTGGGTGGCTTTCCAAGAGATAGGACGGTTCGGAAAGAGAGAGTGAGTATAAACTTTTAATTTCACCAGGTAAGCTCTTTTTCAGAAGCGACTTGGTACAAAAATTACAACATATTCTTAGCTCTTTTGGTAAAGTCACGTTGAAGGGAAAAATAAAATAATAACATATATTTCATTATTTTATTGTTTATTTTATTATTTTATTGTTTCCCTTCAACGTGACTTTACCAAAAGAGCTAAGAATATGAATTACTGCAGTCACGAAAGCTTTAAATCAAAAAATAACTCTACAAAGTTTTTTTTTTATCATGTGGAAATGTAGAGCAGCAAAATCCTCTAAAGACATGTTCTTAAATGTGGAGGGAAAAGCCGGAGGACCCGGAGAAAAATCCACACGACCACGGGGAGAAAGACACAGGATCGCACCCACGACCTCCTGCATATCAGGCGAGGTAGTTAACAGACACCAGGAGGAGGAACCAGAAACGAGAAGCGGGAAGGCAGCAATAGCAACGCGGTGACGAAGAGTCAGCGCCACTCTACTTGCATCCCCCACTCGACTTCATCGCCGTGACTGCCCCAGGGCCACCCCTGCTTTGATGAGGCCCCTTACAGCCGCGTCTGCGGTACTGTGGCCTCGGCTGGTAAGGTCGGTGGCTCACATCAATCGGAACGTTTGAAGTAAAATTCTTGGTAATCTTGGTTGGGGGTTGACTCGGCCCATCATCACCGCAGCAGGATGGATAAAAATCAGTACAACAGTGGGAAAGTCAACAACAGTTGTCCTATGGATAGACTCATCCCCGCCATAGCAATATGGAATTTACCCCACTGGCAAGGGCTCCGCAGGGCCATTCATAGGAGATGGTCACTAATGCCTCAATGCTGCTAGTTTGAGAAGGAAATCACTCTGCTTCTTGTTGTCGTATCCACATTGCACCGTACTATTGCACCAGTCCACCACCACTGCTCAGGAGCAGGCGCAGCGTGCGTCCCGCCGGCCTCGGCACTTCTCCACACCGTCCAGGGGAACTGTGCCGCACCAATCCCGGCGTTGTGGCGCCAGCATCTCGAAGACTCCCTCAAATGCCTCGTCCACGCCGCGCCCGCTCTTGGCGCTCGCCTCGAAGCAGGCTCGCTCGACCGCCGGCAGTGACCGCCGAGCACCGGCAGCACCGGCACTCCCCGCCACGGTGTCGCGGTAGCGAAGGACGCGGCCGTAGAAACCGCGAGCGTCCTCCGCACTCACTTCCCGCAGGCGACGGTGCTCCTCCTCCTCCGGCGCCAGTGCTCCGGGGCTCCCGTCGCTTTGCAGGGTCAAGGATGGCGGCGGCGGCAGAAGGTCGGCCTTGTTGCCGACGAGAGCGAAGATGCAGCCGGCGTCGGCGGAGTCGGTGAGGCCAAGGAAGCGCTCCTCGAGCGCAGCGAAGGAGGCGCGGCTCGTCACGTCGTACACCAGCAGCACCGCGCGCGCCCCGCGGCAGAACATGGAGCCCAGTCCGTGGAACCGCTCCTTGCCTGCGAGGTCGCAGTGGGAGTGCGGTCGGGATGAGGTCACAATGGGGGCAGAGCGGGGTCAGGGCGGGGTCAGGGCAGGGTCACGGCAGGGAGCAGGAGGTGCAGGTTCAGCGAGGTTCTGGAGATCGCGCTGCACAGGCCCTGGGTGTGTCCATGCAGAACAGCGGGAGAACAAACCCCAGGCGATTGTTGCGCAACAGGCAGTTGTTTTTCCCGTCTCTCCATCTCTCCGAAACTCGGCCAAACAAGCACTGCACTGTGTCCACTCACCGCGCTCGCTGCCCCGGGCTCATGACGCGGCGGCAGCCGAGCAACACTGAAACCCGCTGATCCCTCTGTCTGGGCCACAGAGGCTGCTGCTGCCGGTGGTGGTGGAAGTGGGAGGGAGGGGGGTTGCAGTCGCAGCAGCGGCAGGAATGCCAGACCGGGGTCAGTCCTCGCAATGCGAGGAATCTCATGCAGAGGTGCAATCGGCCCTGCCCCCCTCGCCCGTGGCCGTCCAAAAATAAACTAAATAAATTCAAATCCAAACGAGCTTCTGGACGGTGGTCGTCTCATCTCACCCCTGCCGGCCGTCTTCTCCCAGAGGTTAAAATTCCACATTCCCATGGTGGTGGAGAGTTTCTTCATAGGAAAGCCATTGCTGACTTCCCACAGGGTTCTCAACCCTGGAAGGAGGACGGGGTCGTAAGCCTTTGAGTGGAATTGAAACTCGTGCGTAGGCATGGATCACGGAACTATCGGCCGCGTGTGTTTGTTTGCGGAAGTCTTTCATCAGCAGTACGGGAATCGATGCGTTTGCATATATGCTCTGGTGTGTGGCTCCGAGACAAACCTCGGCTCAAGCCGCTTGGCGCCCGGGTGGTCGGTGGTGGAGAGGTCAGAGGCCGAATCTAGGTTTTGGCCACTGCCTGTCATTAAACCGGATTCTCAAGTGTAGCAACAAATTGACGGTATCAGCCTGGATACCAGTGAATCGCATCGAGACCCATGGACCCACATAGAAACCCATAGACTCACAAAGAGACCTATAGACTCATCGAGACCCATACGCGCACACAGAGGAGACCCATAGGCTTACATGGAGACATATAGACACACTATGACTTGAGTTATGAATTCACCGGGTTCTCAAGTGTGGTCACGAGCTGATGACCCCAGCCCACTCACCAATGACTGACCACATTACATTGGGGTACGAATTTAATTTGGCTCTGAGAATTAAAATATCAGGGATGACTCACGACGGAGCGGGTGGGAAAGAACTGCCCCATACTGTCGGCCAGAGATCACTTAGAAGAGATCTCGAAGGTGGCTCTATGACATTTTTATGTGGGCCGTTCTCTAACATGATGCAACGCTGACAGCACAATCAGAATCCTATTGGGGGAGGGGAGAGAAACTCCATCAGCAGACCGAGGAGGAGGAGACGCTCCCCAAAGACAAAGATCCCCCGTATCGCCTGAACAGACTGTTGGGGCAAGTGCTGTTAGCAAGTACCTATGAAGGCCGGCACGGCACACGAGGGGGTGGGTGGCCAGCACCACGCGAAGCCGCCTTTGTCTCCCCAGTGTCGATGTTTATTACACACCACACTAGGTACTCATTTTAGGCTAAGTCCATCTTGGGGAGGCCCAGGACCGGTTCAGATAATCATCAATGGTGTTGGCCGTGAGCGGGAATCGAACTCGGTTCGCCAGGTTCGTAGCGCAGCGTGGCGCTCACCACTACGCTCCCCATCCCCCCACCCACCGGTCCGCCCACCTCAGGTGACGCACCTGCCGTGTCCCACAGGGCCACCGTGTGCCCGGCCCACTCCCGCATGACGAAGGTGCCCCCCACGGTGCTCACGGTGTCCTCGAAGCGGCGCTCCGCGTAGCGCCGCAGCAGCGACGTCTTCCCCACGCTGACGTCTCCCAGGAGGACCACCTTGAAGTCGGGCCGATTGGACATCGCCGATAGGTCCCCTCTGAGTGGCAGCCGTAGGCGAGCGACGGAGGATGACGAGGAGGTCACTGCCTCGCCCCCGGGACCCAGCCTCGGCTGAGCCCGACTCACCCCTAGGAGAGGGCGAACTCACCACCGAACTCGCTACTCAACCCGCCTATCCGTGCCACTCGCCGTTATCTCCTCACCAGCACGCCCACCACAGACGCAGAGTCACCGGACCCGCCACGCGCTCCTCACGAGGTCGGCTCTCGCTTAGCCCGAGCGGCGGGAGCTGAGCTCCAAACCCTTGGGCAGCAAGAGCTGCCTCGGCTGCCCTGTGACGCACCCCGGGAGACGCCGCACAACGCCCGATGCTCGTCACGTCCATCAACTGGAGGCGAGAAGTGACCCCGCGGGAGTTGAACAACCCCCGCCAGCGGGCGACCCTCCTCCTAGGAGTCTCCTCGACACCACCACCCCCACCACCACCCCCACCACTCCCACCACCGCCACTACCCCTACCACCACTCCCACCACCCCCACCACCACCCCCACCACTCCCACCACCCCCACCACTCCCACCACCCCCACCGCCACCACCCCCACCACTCCCATCACCACCACCCCCACCGTCGTGGCGTGCGGGCCAAGGAGTTTGGTGGCAGCAGCGGCGAGAGGAGCGGTCCCGGAGCGGCGGTGCAGGCCGAGTGGGCGCGGAGAGAACGGACAGCGGGGATTGAACAATAGCCCTTCCGTGCCCTCCTCCGCGTGCCTCAACCACCCACCCGCCCACTCAGCCTCACCCCTATTCACCCTCACCCAGCTGAGTGAAGGTGACGTCACCACGGCGCCTGTGCCAGGCGAGGTGCACTTGGTGAGGCCACGTGAAGTGTCAAAGACTTGCTGACAGGAGGTCTCGGGACAGACCCAGCAGGTGCCATGGGTTAGCTGACTGATATGCACACCAGTTATATCCCCTACTGTGCCAACCTCCTGTATTGTATTCGCCCGGTCCTCCGCTCATTATTGTGAGCGTCGCTCCTCTGCCCTCCGTTGTTGCTGGAGGGCGACTGCCTCCAATTTCCCAGTAGCAGCGTCCTTCATGAGCCTCCTCCATAGAGGTCGATCTTGACACTGCTGGTATCAGTCGTCGGCAAGTACACTCAGCTCCACATCCTCCCGTACCGCATCAGTCCATCTCTTCTCCAGCCCATGTCCTGCCCGTTTAGCCCCCTCGATGCGGCCAAACAGAAGCTGCTTGGGCAAGCGGTGGCTGGGCTTGCGGGCTACGTGCCCCAGCCAACGCAGCCTTGCTTGCCGGAGGAGCTCACTGATGGGAATGTGTCCAGATATTTGAAGGATTTGTGAGCTCGCACAATCCAGCCTGATTAAGCCCAGGATGGATCATAGGCATGCCAGTCTGAATGTTTCTTACCGGCGCAGATGTTCCATTAGAGCGGTCCACATTTCCACTCTGTCTCACCCCTATTCACCGCCACCCAACCTCACCACTACCCAGTATCACTCGTATTCGGCATCACTCCTAAACCGTCCTTACGCCTATCCTATAGCTATTCTGTGGGTTTACTGGTGAGGGCATGGGTTTGCTGGTGGGCTAAAGTGTGGTTTAATCCCAGCGTAGCAGAGTCAGGCAGAAAATAACAATCTGGACGAGCTCTCTCGGGCTCCGGTCGAGTGGAGGAGGAGGCCTCTCCGCCAGCAGTGACGTGAACAACCACTACAGGGCTGCGCCTCTACCAACCCCCACCTCACTGCCACATTCCCCTCCCCCACTCCGTTCACCCCCACTCCGTTCTCCCCCCACCCCCACCCAGTTCTCCCCCCACCCCGTTCTCCCCCCACCCCCCACCCTGTTCTCCCTCCACCCCACCGCGTTCTCCCCCACCCCCACCCCGTTCTCCCCCACCCCCACCCCGTTCTCCCCCACCCCCACCCCGTTCTCCCCCACCCCCACCCCGTTCTCCCCCACCCCCACCCCGTTCTCCCCCACCCCCACCCCGTTCTCCCCCACCCCCACCCCGTTCTCCCCCACCCCGTTCTCCCCCCACCCTCACCCCGTTCTCCCCTCACCCCCCACCCCGTTCTCCCCCCAACCCCACCCCCACCCCGTTCTCCCCCCACCCCCACCCCGTTATTCCCACCACCCCGTTCTCCCCCCACCCCCACCCCGTTCTCCCCCCACCCCCACCCCGTTCTCCCCCCACCCCCACCCCGTTCTCCCCCCACCCCCACCCCGTTCACGCCCCCACCCCCCACCCCGTTCTCCCCCCCCACCCCCCCACCCCGTTCTCCTCCCACCCCCACCCCGTTGCGCTTCTGCGGCCGTCTAGAAAACCTTTCCCATATTGGGAAGCTACTGTAGCTATTCAATTTCGATTTAAAGCTTTCGTGACTGCAATGATTCATCTTCTTTGGTTCTTTCGGTAAAGTCACGTAGAATGAGAATAAAATAATAAATTGATAAAATAAAATAACACAATAATATTATTGTGTCATTTTATTTTATCAATTTATTATTAAAATAATAAATTAAAATAATAAATTGATAAAATAAAATAACACAATAATATTATTGTGTTATTTTATTTTATCAATTTATTATTTTATTCTCATTCTACGTGACTTTACCGAAAGAACCAAAGAAGATGTAGCTATTCACTTTTAAATTTAGATTTACAACTAATTTCTTTAGAACTACTTTTTTATGTTTAGTTTGTTGTCCTTCCCCCGCACCTCCGATTAGTATGATTGGCTATGTACGGAGTGAAAGAAGTTGAATATACATTGCTGCCGTGGCCGTCTCTTACCATCACTGCCACGCATAATACGAGATATTTAGCCTGCCCTTGGTCATGGGTGATATCCGAACATCCAGCCCACATGGAGCCCCGGGGCAGGTGTCGGGGCGAGCCCAACTACACCTCACAGCCACGAAACTGCAACACCTGGCAAGCAGTGGTGGTAGTCACCCATGCCAAGTACTAACCAAGCTCAACCCCCTTTCGTGTTTGAGATCTGATGAGGTCATGTGTATTTAAGGGTGATATCATCTTGGGCGTGAAAGTGGTGCGTTTGTGAATACATCACAAAAAGGGTCCCACGGACTAAACTGCGATACTTTGCATTGCCTTTGTGCTGTTCGCCTTTTGTTATTCTCTCGTCCAACACCGGTAAGACGAGGGATGCTGTCTCTTGTGTAGGTCAATCAGTTTCAAGGACAATGCATACATTACAATCAAATCATTGTTGTATGTTTTACCACAATCGTTTGTGGTTAATGCAGACTTGATGTCTTGTGTTAGGTGTCCGTTTGGTGTTTGAACATCTTAAAATCTGTGTATTCTTGCCGGACAGGGTAAAGCCTATGCTTTTTTTCATTAAGGAGAAATATATATTTTTTAAGTCTATCATACTTTAAATTGTGCCATGTGTTGCTGGTCATTTGGCCACATTTGGGCCTGTGCTCCGCAACGATGATTAAACAAAAAAGGAAAATTCAATCAACGGAAGCAGGGCGAGAGAAAACCCTCCATTGCCTGGTAGACGAGGAACTTTTGATGAAAGTATAACTTCCGTGCTTCTTGCAGTCTGTAACTGTGTGTGCCGTCTGATCACATTCGATACATTCACCCCACAATACCCGACCTGCCAATTTCCTAACTGTGGTGGAACCATGCAAACTTTCCCATCGTTTCATCTGCCGTGCCAAAAGCTCAAACTGGTGACCTCTCGTGCAAGTCTCGCGTGTAGGCCAAGTCTAGTAACTCGATGTAGTAGAAGGGCCCCCCCGCCAATCTGCATGACCCCCTCCCCCCTCAATGGGAAGAGGCCTCGAGTGATTTACACAAAACCACTCCCCGTCTCGCCCAACCTCACGGATCGACCAACATGGAAACGAACCCCTGAGAAATGGATGAGCCCAGGGCCACATGGCAAAGTGATGCAGGCCCCTGACTGCTCACGGCCGGTTGGTGGAGCAATTAATCTCCTCTGTCTCCCTGCAACCTGGCGTCAGCCTCTGATGTCCACACCCCACACGGGGTCCTCACACGGCTCAGTCGACTTCGGGGAGATCAGAGGACAGGTTCTGATGTATCGCTCACCACCGGTAGCCATGGACCCGGAATCGAATTCAGATGGCCAGGTTCGTAGTGCGGTGTGCTTCCCCCGTGCCGCAGCCCCCCTCACATAGATACATCACAGAATGTTATACGGTTGTTTATTTCTTTAACCTCATTTCATATATACAGTAAACACTATGTTGTACATAAATTACTGATAATACTGTACAGCACAATACACACGCCATGCAATTCCACGATTGTATTAAAACTAACCGCAGATACAAATACTTGGCTGTGAAGTCTTGAATATGGCCATTTAGCCTGAACGTTGGTCAAATATATGTCCGTCTCAAAATTAAATGTTCGATCCATACTTGTAGTCAACGTGTGGTTTTACAAACGGGCATGATCGCACACGCGTTCAGGCGTCTGCAGTAACCTACACCGATGCGAGTGGACTCGCATAGCGTTGACATTCTGTCCACGAGCACCTGTTACAGACGCAACCTAAAAACGCAACAGCTCTCCCAGTCATGTACCTAGGCCGTGTGTTTGTTCGTGAGAGAATAGGAGTTATGCTTATGTTTCATGTTTAATTGGGAGCGGTCGTGTAGTGGTTGGCGCGCTGCGCTATGAACCCGGCAACCCGCGTTTGATTCCCGCTCACGGCCAACACCAGTGACGATTATCTGAAGCGGTCCGGGGCTTCCCCTAGGTCGACTCAGCCTCAAATGAGTACCTGGTTCAGTGTGTAAACATCGCCACTGGAGAGACAAAGGCAGTCGGGCGTGGTGCTGGTCACCCACCCCCTCGTGTGCCGTGCCGGCCTTCATAGGTGCTTGCTAACTGCACTTGCCCCAACAGTCTGTTCAGGCTATACGGGGAATCTTTGTCTTTGCAGGAGTTAACTTGCAATAAAACACTGGCGACGTCGCGACTGTGACACTGCTAAGAGACATTAAAGCAGCACTGATGTCACCAGAGGGCACCTGAAAGTCACTTCAAAGTCTTTGTCTCCAGAATCTTCTAGCTTTGAAGGTTGCATCTCCCCTTAAGGATGGCATGGCACGTGGAGGGGGGCTGAGGGGGTTGGTGGGACATCTCCGTGCATGCCCGGCCACCTTTGTCTCGCGGCCAGTGGTGGAGTAGCAGCAGTTGCTCGTTTTAGTCTGAGTCAACATAGGGGGACGTGGTTAGCACACTGGCATGCGATCCAGAGGTCACCGGTTCGATTTGAAACAATGAGGCGGTGTAGTAAGTAGTGGGTTCCACCACAACCGATCGGCAGGTTGCGTGTCGTGGGGTAAAGTGTGGGTAACTTCCATCTCTTCTAAGACATCGGGCCAGCGTGCAAGAGTGGGCAACATACCCTCTAGAGTGGTTCTCTAGAGCTCCTTCAAAGTGGAGGCCCATCTGCCAGCAGTGGCTTGAGAAAGTAATTTCAGGACTGCGCCTTCATTGACATTTGGGAGGCCCAAGTCCACTCCAGTACTTAATTGTGACTGGTGTGTTTTTGTCCTGGAATCAAACCTAGGTCAGCGGATCCGTAATCACTGCATATTGTATTACACAAATACACTGTCGCATATACAGATACATAAATGCACGCTCATACACATAGAAACATGGTGCATACATAGCCATATGCATAGCTTGCCTTGAAGTCTAATGGTTATTGGTTTAATATCAGCCTCAGTGGAAAAGTGACCATTTCAGCGGCTGTATTAACAAAAACTTGCATGAGTAGCAAATTAACACTGCTATACCATAAAAATCATACACCAGTGATACACATCGGTGGCAAGTGGTGGCACAGTGGTTAGCGCACTGCACTATAACCCTGAAAAGATTACTTCGATTCCCCTCCACGACTGACATCGGTGGAAAATGATATCCGAGGCGGTATTGGGAACACCCCTTCACCAATCCACACTGATGAGCGTGGTGAAGTATGTATGGTCAAATAACCTCCATGACCTACACGGCGTGGGAGGGCCTTCATCCAGCCATGACTTAACAAAGCCTAACAATTATTATGAATTACATTTGTTATCAAGTGATATTGTTTTTAAAATAAGAATTTAAGCTGTGACCATGAGTTTAATTTAGGTAGACAGGCCCATAATACAATGTGCTAACCACTGTGCCACCACTCAACCCAAGTTTATAAAATAAAAACTCACTTCTTGAATAGTTTTTTGCTTTGCTACGTGGAGGTTTTTGTTCTCTCTCTTGGTTTGTGTTGTCGGAGGCAGCAACATCTTGAGATCATGAACTCAAGGGTCTGGGTTCAATTCCAAAACAAGGCACTTGACATTTTGGGCAGGATATTTTTTTTTTATATTAATAATCAGATGATCGTTGGTCCATCGATTTTGTTGTCCACCCAACAGTAAAATGAACAAAACCATGAAGTCTCTTGCGAGGTCTCTTGCTGGCGGGTTAAAGCGTGGGTACGCCACGTCTTATAAACAGCAGAGGGCAGTGTTGGGATAATGTCCCGTGTAGTGGCGATTGAAAGCCATCGGTGTGCGTTGGCATCGGCGTCATGCCCAAGCAAGTTTCAGCATTATCTGAGCAGCAGATAAAATGGCATGGCCATTGATTCAATATGAACACACAGTAGGTACTAAACAGTAATTTTAAATTGTCCACATTCATTTCTATAACCCAAGTCTCTGCAATACTAGCGAGGACCTTGATGATATTTGTTTTTACCAACGTAATAACGTTGAACAGACCTGATTACATCAGTTCACGTGGAGGTGCTAAAGGTGGATGACAAGTGACCGAGAGAGGCCTTCATCCAGCAGTGGATTGACCATGGCTGGGTCTCCCCTATGGCTGAATACACCGCAGTGATGTTACGCTGCGGTGTCTTCAACATCCCTAGCTGCCACTGATATTTATTGGCGTAAAATAAAATAAAATGTTTCGTTTCGGATGACGCTGCAAAGTATTAAATGTATTTTGATTTAGCGTGCTGATCTTAAAGGTGCATTGAAAAATGTGATACTCCGACTGATGTGTTCTTTCGGTAAAGTCACGTAGAATGTGAATAAAATAATAAAAATAATAATAACAGAATAAAATTCTCACGACGTTTCGGCCACAACACAAGTATCCTTCCTCAGGTGAAGAAACAGGACTGTCCGGAAGACAGCGCTTGAGTGAACACTGCCAAGCATGGACAGCGTCTTTTAAGCTGTGTGGGAGGAACAGAGCGCCTTGCCAAAGGAGTTTACATATAAATTAGCATGTAACTGGGGGACTAGCATAATGTTGGTGTGAGGGATTAGCAGTCCTGTTTCTTCACCTGAGGAAGGCTACTTGTGTTGTGGCCGAAACATCGTGAGAATTTTATTCTGTTATTATTATTTTTATTATTTTATTCACATTCAACGTGACTTTACCGAAAGAACCCAGAAAATTAATCCCTGCAGTCACGAAAGTTTTAAATCGAAACTCCAACTGATGCTTCTGTTGTTGTGGAGTAACTCATGCAGCCAGCTATGGCTCTAGGATTTGGTGTTACATGTTATTTGTGTAGTTTATTGTAAAAATTCGGTCACAGTCCCTGTGATCACTGTTACATTGCAATTATGGCTTTATTTTTTGGTGATTTCCAAAAGTTTTTTGGTTTGGACATATTTGTTTTGTTGTAGGACAGAGTTAGACTGATGGCCTTAATCTAAGTTTTCAAGTGGTTGTTGTTGTTTGACTTGCATCCCACTGGGATTTTTTGCACACAGCGTTGGTGTACGGTGCTTTTTTCAGGAATATTTTGCTGTTTTTTTTCATGGATTTTCTGTTTGCACAGTCACAAAGTCACTTTAAGATGTTTTTTTCTTGTTCGTGTTTTTGTTTTTTTGTTTGTTGTGGTTGCACCCCGATTCAAGAGCCGAATGGCTCACAGGGCTATACCAAAAATAAATAAACAGAAAAAAAACACTTCACAGCGGATGATGGCTATGGTTAATACCACCCCGAATGGCCGTCCTGATGGGCGCAACATAACCTCGCATGCGGAAAATGTGGATGAGCAAGGGGCTGGAGGTTAGGAGCTGGGCCCATTACAGCTGCCGACCGGCAGAGCAGCGCCGTTTGCGAGCGCCAGCACGCCGCTCCACTCCGTATCTCTCGGCCTAAACGCCGGGCCCCGCGGGCACCGTGGGCACAGCTGCCGTGGCCGTTGCTGACGCGGGGTGCGACGGACGTCGCTCATGCGGGGCGCCCTCCCTACACGGCCGCGATGCCCATGCGCCGCTCGGCCAGGCACAGCGGACGCAGCTTCTCCTCACCGGTCGGTGCCTGAACGCGGATCTCGGGCACCCCCGGCGGCTGCCCCGACGCGGCCGCCGTGACTCTCGAGGAGGCGGAGGCCGAGGAGCCGGAAGAGGAGGCGCTGGGGCAGCGCGCCGGCTCCCCCGTCGTCGTCGCCGCCGACGACGAAGGCCTCCCGGCGGTCGTGGCGGCCGCGGCGGCTGCGGGCCGCGCGGGCGCCAGCCACTCGCGCTGCACGTAGAGGTGGAACGGGTCCTGGGAGCTTAGCGGCTTCTTGGTGCGCAGATAGCCGAGCAGCACGAGCAGCAGGAAGAAGCCGTAGAACGAGACGAGGATGAGGATGTAGAGCGTCTTGGGCTGGTTGTCGGCGGCGGAGGTGGCGGTGGCCGATGAGAGGCCCTGCATGTCCGGTGCAGTGCCCGGCCCAGCGAAGTGTGCCGAGAGGCGCGTTCCGTTCACCGCATCCATGTCGCCGGCGCTCGCTGCGACGCACAGTAAAACGGCCCGTTAGCGTGGAAGGTGGGCTTCAACGAAGTGGCTTATCATGTGGACATTTAGAGCGGGCAAATACTCTAAATGTGTAGGAGAAAACCGGAGGACCCAGAAAAAAAATCCGCGTGACCACAGGGAGAGACAGAGACAAGCAAACTCCAAATATACAACAAGTATCAGGGTTGGAATCGAACCCACGACCTCCTGTATACCAGGCGAGGTAGTTAACATCTCCTAGCCACCGTGGCACCCTTAGAGAAAGGGCGGTGAATAAATCTCAGCTGGCTCTAACTCCGTGTTAATGGAGGTTGAGTTCCCACGTTGGGTGCTTGAATTGAGCAGCCGCGAGGAGGCTGCTGCACCTGGCGCACTTCACGAGAGGCAACTCCACATTCCCACTGCCAGGGCAGTTCTTCCATAGCACTGCTGTTGACTGGCCACAAATTGATAGCGATTTTATCGACTAAGCAGAATTTGAATTAGCAACCCTTCTATTTATAGTGGGTTGCCATTAGTAGTATTAATATTGGTATCGTAATTGTATAATAATTTCCGAGGTCTTAAAATAAAAAAAATATAGACATTTCGGCGATTTTATGTAATTTTACGATCTAATTTAAGAATCTATCTGTTTTTTCACAGTGCGGTGAATTTAGCGGCCACTAGCGGCTTACTGGCGTCCGATGAAACCATTTGCATACGCCATGTACGAAACACCAACTCTTAAAACCCTAGATACGACAATACTAATCGATGCAACGTGACACGATGATTCACAGTACCTCCTCTACTCTAACCACTGTGATGATGTGTAATGTTATGGGATGGTAAAGACAACAACAACTCTGTACCGTGCTGTCAGCAGCATTGGTCCACACGAGCACAGAGTTCATAAGGCACACGAAGGTTGAACGTTATCATCAGCAGCCATTGTCTATCCACTGCTGGACGAATGCCTTTCTCCACGCTATTGCCATTCCTCAGGTCAAGCAAGTGGTGCTGCCGTGCGTCTCACTGCTGCATATGAGCTCATCTCAATCGCTCCATCTCCCACGGTGTCCGTCCCCTTCTTTACTTTGGCTGCGACTCCCATCACCAGTCACGATAGCGTCCTGCCCGAGCCCGTTCAGCTCCCCTTCTTCCTTCTCAATCTCACGACTCTGGTTGGCGTTCGCGCCCCGGTCCACGCGTTCCTCCTTCTGCCTCTCGGAGTATTCCAACTTCCTGAGAGATCCCAACAACGCGGAAGATCTTCGGCCATGAAGCTCATGGGGCAATAACGTCCCAACCCCATCACCACACAGACCATGGCATCATCTCCTTGATGATGGTGATGATGATGGTGATGATAATGGTGATGATGGTGATGATGATGTTGGTGATGAAGTTGCACACGTGCGAAATGACAAACGGTGGTCGCCACCCAGAATAGAACCGCGGAACTTACCGCGTGCACTCAATCCCGATTCACAAACGCAAAGGGGGAGGGCATCATCACAGCAGCGATTTACAAAGTCCGGTACTCCTGACGCATTCATCTTTCTCAGGGGTCGGCAAACTGCGGCTCCGGAGCCGAGTGTAGCTGTTTAAGGACTGCTCCGTGTCGTTATTCACGTGCATTGCGAATTTACAAAAATGGCTCTTCTTGTGATTTTGGTTGCCGACCCCTGATCTGGCTCAGCCGCCTCGATATAACATTATAATTGTTGCTCGACATCAACATCGGCCGTTCGCAGGAAAGTATAATTCACAGCGGGCATCTCTCCGTGCGTGCATGAGTCGGCACAACACAACTCACTCCTTGCGATCAGCTCGGCTCATCGATAACCAGACTCTCTCTCCACCCGTGTGTGTCCATCCCCACTCGCGCCACTCAACTCCGGGCATCTCGCCACCGCCACCACCCTCCTCCTCACCCTCACCACGTGCTGCTAAACTCTGGAGCTCACCACCACCCTCCTCGGCCAAGCCTCATAATGAATCTGGAGAGAACCCGCGAGTGGTATCACACTTTGCGAGTCGCACTGCCTGGCGGTGCCGTTCCAGCAGTGGGAATTCCACATTCCCATGACCGGGACTAGTCTTATCCTTAGAACCACCGCTGCTCAACTTCCACAAAAGTGGAATTTTATAGATGCGGTAGTGGAGGGCTGTCGTTGGACCCTTTGTCAATCCACTGCTGGATGAAGGCCTCCCTCCCCACGCCGGTTCAGATATCACTCACCACTTTCGTGAGCCGTGGCCGGGAATCGAACTTAGGTCGTCGCGTTCGTAGCGCAGTGCGCTAACCGCGGCACCTCCGCTCCACCCACGTAAACACTTACGACTCGCATGCAGTAGCGGAGGATAACATTTGGCAATACAAGAAACGTGTTTTAAAAATTAACGCCTTCATACGGTGCGAAAGAAGTTCAACACACTCACCGATTGGTGAAGGAAAAACCTTACCTAGCTACCCGCTCACAGACCAAGCTACCTACCCACTCATACTGAGCTATTTATCTATCCACCCACATATCAAGCTATCTCCCTCGCAACATCATAAGCGATGAAAGCTCCTGCCTGCCTAAATGATACTAATCTACCTCACTATCGTCTATCAACTTGTTCACCTGCGTAGCTGCATACCCACTTAGATGTATCGGTAACTACCCAATTATATACAGACAAATCTAGTTATCCATCTACTTACTAAACTACATACCAATTTAGCTATACTGTATGTCCATCTCGCTACCCACTTATCTACACTACCTAGACAGTATGTATTTCACAACGCACACTCGACCACCTACCTACATGCCCACATACCTACCAAAACATCTGCCTGTCTAACCGTACACTTATCTCCAAACATATCTGCATAGTCCACCCACTGACCTACTCATCCACCTACCTTCGTGTGCGCTTCCCCATCTACCCACTCCGGCGAGTGCGGGCGGTGCGTGTTGGTGAGTGGCGGTGCATGGTGGTGCGTGGTGGTGAGTGGTGGTGAGTGGTGGTGCGTGGTGGTGAGTGGTGGTGAGTAGTGGTGCGTGGTGGTGCGTGGTGGTGAGTGGTGGTGCGTGGTGGTGAGTGGTGGTGCGTGGTGGTGCGTGGTGGTGAGTGGTGGTGCGTGGTGGTGAGTGGTGGTGACTTCCTCGTGTCATCGTGGAATCATTCGCTCACCTCTCTCCGTGTCTGTCTGCTGCTGCTGGCGGTGGTAACGAGATGCAGAGACAGCAGCTCCAGGAGACGTGGTCTTGAGGTGCAGCTCCTGCAGACGGTCCCTCTCAAGAACGTCGGCCTACGAGTGACCCCTTTTATGTCCCCTCTGGGCTCTTTGTCCTCACCCCGTTAAACGAAATTAACTTGAAACTAAGGCGAAGCTTCTCCAGATGACGTCTTTAAGACGGAGTCACCCAACAAGGTCCCGGGAAGCGTTCTCCACCCCTGCAGACGAGGATGCTTTAAAGGTGCTCCTCCGATGTCCTCCGATGTCCTCCGATGTCGCTCCTACAGAAGAGAGGACGACCTTTCGTGAGTCGGACAAGGTCGTCTGACGTCCGCTGCTCCTCCACGGCAATCTTTGTATCTCTCTCTGAGCTTGCACGGGCGTGTTGTCCGGAGTTGCTCCCGCGAGACGCGTGGATCCGAGCTCTCTGTGTGTGCGGGGCTCGCTGAGCGCTGCGCAGTTCCCCCAGGGCTATTTAAAGGCGGCTCCGACTCTGAGGGCGCATTGCGTCACTGCCGAGACCCCCACCCCCTCCCCGGGCCACCGGCCAACAGCTGAACAAGCTCAAGCCTCAGAGACCCCAAGCGGCTCAAGAGAGCCCCCATATTCATGCACAACAAAAACCAGAGGCGCATGTAATAGCAGCTCAAATTCAAATCCTGACAAACTTAACAAGGTAATTAAATTAACATAACAAGCCAATGTATACGTCTCGACTGCATCTCACTAAATATATCTGTTGATTAGATTGCTGTGATCTCACCGCATCAATGCATCTCGTCTACATCTCTCGTGCCCTCTCACTCGGATTCTCACCCACGCTCCCCCAATATCGATCACCATCAGCATCATCGCTCGCACTAATCATCATCATCAGCCATAATCTATCCACTGCTGGATGAAGGCTTTGTTAAACCGGCGCCACCTCTCACGGTCTTTAGATCCACGGGATGATCTCACCGCTCGATTCTCCGTGACGGACGACCCCGCCGTCCGTGTGCTGTGCAGCAAACACGAGAGACGGCCTCTCAGTGCCCGTGGCTTTCACCACTGATAGAAAAAAATGAACATAAAAAGAACGGGCAGGGTGAGAAGCCGAATGCTGGGAAGCAGGACTTGATAATAGTACAGTTTAGTTTTATATAGTGTCGTCATCCATCGCTATTGGAACCACAGACACGCGTGAACAATTGCCCCCGCTCTGCAATTAAGATGTTATCAGCCAATTAATGAAGCGTTTAAAAATGTGGGGAGGAAACCGGAATACACGGAGAAAACCCAGGCGTGCAAGGGCAGAAACACAATATGGCATAGACGAGTAGTCATTGACTTACGAACACAATTAGTTCATTGAGACTCGTTCGTAAATCGAACGTTCGTAAGTCGGAACCGTAATGTACTGTACTGATGGATGATAATAGTGCGTGCTTTGCTGTACCGCATTCTCATGGCACGGGGAAGGGAGCTTCGCAACATTCGCGTGTGAACCACCTTTGGTGCTGCCTCCACAACATTGCTGGAGATGAGAGGCCACGTGCGTAGCCTCCAGCCACCGGTGCCCGGTGATCACCACCATACAGGGCAAGAGAGCCGCCGCCGCCGCTGCCGCTGCTGCCGCCAGCGTGGCGCCGTGACGGGACTGCAGCAACAGCGGCTCTGTGCTTCGTCAGCTGCGCCGGTGTTTTGACTCGCCCAGAGGCGAGATTGAGCGCGGCCCCGTGGCACTGCACCACCGCTGCCCGCGCCGTGCCGCGAGCTTCCTCGTAACGCGCAACCCAGACGAGGTTCACAGTTGATGGTTTGGAGTTGATCCCATGGACACCGGTCAGCATTTAATTTATTTATAAGCCCTGTGTCAACCCACTGTTGGATGGACGAATGGCTCCCGAGACAAATCTTTGTTTTTTGTTTGTCCATTCGGTTCCCGGTAATACAATAAAACATATTTTAACAACTTCTGGGTTCTATCGGTAAAGTCACGTAGAATGGAGATAAAATAATAATAACAGAATAAAATTCTCACGACGTTTCGGCCACAACACGAGTAGCCTTCCTCAGGTGAAGAAACAGGACTGTCCAGAAGACAGCGCTTGAGTGAACCCTGCCAAGCTTGGAAGCGTCTTTAAAGCTGTGTGGGACGAACAGAGCGTCTTGACAAAGGAGTTTGCATATAAATTCGCATGTAACATGTAAATTAGCATGTTATATGTAAACTCAATTCTAGATTTAAAGCTTTCGTGACTGCTAGGATCCATACTCTTTGATTCTATTGGGTAAAGTCACGTAGGTGAAAATAAAATAACAAAAAATCACGACGTTTCGTTATTTTATTTTATACATTTTATATTTTGTTTTCACCTACGTGACTTTACCCAATAGAACCAAAGAGTATATGTAAACTCCTTTGTCAAGACGCTCTGTTCCTCCCACACAGCTTAAAAAGACGCTGCCAAGCTTGGCAGGGTTCACTCAAGCGCTGTCTTCCGGACAGTCCTGTTTCTTCACCTGAGGACGGCTACTTGTGTTGTGGCCGAAACGTCGTGATAATTTTATTCTGTTATTATTATTTTTATTATTTTATCTCCATTCTACGTGACTTTACCGAAAACACCCAGAAGATGAATCCCTGCAGTCACGAAAGCTTTAAATCGAAATTTATATTTTAACAACTCTAATAAATACCCATAGGTTTATAAAAACCCTAAGGATTATGGAGATGCCGATAGGCTTACATAGAGACTTATATAGAAACCCATAGGCTTAGGGTTATATAGAGACCCATAGGCTTACAGACATCCTTAGGCTTACATAAAGACCCATCATAGGCTGACAGAGAGATGCACAGGCACTGTGACGTCACCACAGTACCTGTGCCATGCTAGGTGCACTTTGATTCGAAGGCCCGCTGGCAGGTCACGGAACAGACCCAGGTGCCATGGGTTGACTGAGATGACTAGCAGATGCACCAACGGGGCTCCCCACTGTGCCAACTCTCTGCGTTTTAGCCACCTGGTAATCTGCTTATTGTTGTGAGCGTCGCTCTTCTGTTCTCCGCCGATGCTGGAGGGCGACTGCCTCCAACTCTCCAGCAGCGTCCTTCACGAACCTCCTCCAGAGGCCGATCTTGACATTGCTGGCACCAGGCATCAGTAAGTCCAACCAGCTCCACATCCTTCTATACCACTTCAGTCCATCTCTTCTCTATTCCGTGCTGCGCCCGTTTAGACCCATCTAGCCAGCCAAACAGAAGCTGCTTAGGCATGCAATGGCTGGGCATGTGGGCTACATGACCCAGCCAACGCAGCCTTGCTTTCCGTAGGAGCTGATGGGACTTTGCCCAGCTCTTTCAATGATCTGTGAGCTCCTCACACAATCCAGTATAATTAAACCCAGGATGGATCGTAACCAGGCTAGCCTGAATGTTTCAAACCGGTGCAGATGTTCCTTTAGAGGCCTCCACGTCTTGTGCAAGCATACAGAAAGGAGGGCATAACTGTGGCCGAGAAGACCCGGAGCTTTTTATGGAGCGACAGGCCAGGTAGCTTCCACATAGCGTTACGCAGCTGATAACAAGGTAATGTCGTTCGACTGATTCGGAGACCTCGGCTGCCAAATCGGAGTTGGTCATAAGCACACTGCCTAAGTACCTAAACGTCTTCACTCTCTCCACAACTACCCCACCACACATGGGGAGTTGAGGGCAGGGAGTGATTGATGGCATAAAATACCCATACAGGTGCTTTGTTTTTGTGGGGATGATGGTAAGGCTCCATATCTTCGTAGCATGCTCCAGGTCAAGCAGTAGCATCTCCAACTCCTTCTCAGAGTAGGCTGAAATCACCAGATCATCCGAATGCATATGGTTGAACAATAGAGAGCCGTCCCTTGACCCACCAGGCCATCGATCAGCCTCCCATTATATCTATACCAGATAGAAATGCCACCGGCACAACCATGAAAAGCTTCTCAAACTACGTGGTCAAAGACGATGATAATGTTGGGGCCAGAGGACGTCCCTGTCCCACCCCAAGGTGAACAGAAAATGGCTCTGACACCAAGACATGTCATTTTACCCAGGCCTGCCACCATCATGAAGGTCCTTAATGATTGTAAGCAGACGGTCTGGGACTCGAAAGCACGAATAACCCAGAGCCCTGGCCTATGAATGGTTTCATAGGCCTTGGCCAGATGAATAAAGCAGAGATGTAGGTCCTGATGAAATTCTCTACACTTCTGTTGAAGTATACGGACAGAGAAGATGGCGTCCATGCACGACAACCCCAAGCTCTGCAAGATTCTCCTCAGCATGTCTGGCAAGGTGATGTTGAATAATTTTTGCCATGACCTTTCCTGGCACACTGAGCAGGGAAATGCCGCTGTAGTTGTTGCAATCAGTGCGGTCTCTTTTTAAAAAAATGGAGACCACCAGGGCATCCTTCCAATCTTATGGAACCTGTGCTGTAGGCCAAACAGTTGAAATTGTCATATTGGGAAGTCTGCACAAAAAATGCCACCCTTCTTCAGCAGTTCGCTTGAGAGGTCATCTCTCCCCGTAGCTTTATCTGCTTTCAAACTCCAGATTGCCATTCGCACTTCCTCAACAGATGGCACATCAGCCAGCCACTCAGAAGCAGCGGTAACTTCCTTTAATATTTGAGGCACATCTGCACCACCTTGCCCTCTGATGTTGTTTGAGCTGAGAGGTTTTCCCTCCCCCAAGACCTCAGCTAAATGCTCAGAAAAGCTATGAACCTGTCCTTGGGGGTCAGAGATCGGATTACTGTTATTTCCCTTAAGGATGGTGATAGGTGTTGTGCTGAAAGTTGTTTTATGTTAAAAAGTGATTTGTTATGCCGTACTACTGAGCCATTTCCTCAGCACCTCGCGAGCACCACTCATCCTTGCAGCGCCGCACGGCGCTCCGAACCTGAGCGAAGGCTGTGGTAAACCTCCTGCTTCTTGGACGTGATATGTTGTAGACTGGGCGAGTGGGCCTGCGGCGGGGGAAGGACAACTAAACACAAAAAGGCGTTTTAAACAAATGAGAATAGAAATTAGTTTTCAATCTAGATTTAAAAGTGCACAGCAACAGTGGCTTCCGAATCTTTTCACTCATTTCTATTTATGATGAAAAAGTAATAGGCTTTACTCTTTGGGCAATAAACCAGGTGTTAAGATTTTTAAACACTAAATATAAACCTATTGCAAGGCATCAGGTCTGCATTAACCACACGTTTGTGGTAAAACATGCAAACGTGCTAAATTAATATATGCATTGTCTTTGATACCGATTAGCCTACACCAGACAGCATTTATGGCCTTGTCTCACCACCGGTGTCAGACCAGATAATGCCAAAACGTGAACAGCACAGAGGCAATGCCACTATCAAAGCCTCGGGTTGAGCTGTTGAATCTATGGGACCATTTATTGCCGCCATCAAATTGATAAACATAATAACTATTTTGATTTAAAGCTTTCGTGACTGCAGTAATTCATATTCTTAGTTTTTTCGGTAAAGTCACGTTGAAGAGAAACAACAAAATAACAAAATATATATAAAACAATAAAAAATTCTCACGACGTTTCGACCATAACTCAAACGGTCATCATCAGGTGTGTCGGTTTGCATAAATTTATTTTTAAAACGGCACATTTATTTACTTATAAAAAACGTTGGCGTCACGCGCAGCGATTGGCAGTTTGCCCAGGACTAGTCCATCTATTTTTTGAAAAGAGGAGGGGGGAGACGAAATTTTTTATAATGTATGCTGTCTGAAAGCCACTGTAAGCGTGAACAATCAATCAAGAACTGAAATGATTTATCAAATCTTTCCAATGATTGCTAAGATAGAATCCATCTTCTCGGTTGAAATTGTCTCTGTGCTTGTATATGTGGATAGCCTCATGAACGAATCTCTCATGGAAGCCAGATGGCTTACAAAGAACCTCCGTCTTGGAAAAGTCAATGGCATGTGAGCCTACTGAATTAGAACAATGATCTGCTACGGCCGAGGTGTTGGTCCTACCGTGTTTAAGGTCTGCTTTATGTTCACGAATGCGGTCCGAGACATGGCGTTTGGTTTCTCCAATGTAACTACTACCACAGAGGCAACTTAGTTTGTAGACACCTCTGTGGTAGTAGTTACATTGGAGAAACCAAACGCCATGTCTCGGACCGCATTCGTGAACATAAAGCAGACCTTAAACACGGTAGGACCAACACCTCGGCCGTAGCAGATCATTGTTCTAATTCAGTAGGCTCACATGCCATTGACTTTTCCAAGACGGAGGTTCTTTGTAAGCCATCTGGCTTCCATGAGAGATTCGTTCATGAGGCTATCCACATATACAAGCACAGAGACAATTTCAACCGAGAAGATGGATTCTATCTTAGCAATCATTGGAAAGATTTGATAAATCATTTCAGTTCTTGATTGATTGTTCACGCTGACAGTGGCTTTCAGACAGCATACATTATAAAATAATTTGTCTCCCCCCTCCTCTTTTCAAAAAATAGATGGACTAGTCCTGGGCAAACTGCCAATCGTTGCGCGTGACGCCAACGTTTTTTTATAAATAAATAAATGTGCCGTTTTAAAAATACATTTATGCAAACCGACACACCTGATGATGACCGTTTGAGTTATGGTCGAAACGTAGTGAGAATTTTTTATTGTTTTATATATATTTTGTTATTTTGTTGTTTCTCTTCAACGTGACTTTACCGAAAAAAACTAAGAATATGAATATATAATAACTATTGTAAAGGATAAAGCCTATTTTTGTCATTTCAGTCTTATTGCGTATCACTGTTATTGTAGAGCTAGAGTGTGATCCTTAATCGTGAGTGGATGATGTCATCCACATGCACTCGTGTGTTGATGTTTAGCTACAGGGATGGCGTCACATGCAGTGGAGCCTGTGTGACGTAGTAGAGTCTCCCATGACCTTGCAAGTGGTCATCCATTGACCTCCCGGCCACAC